TCCATCAATACGCAAATGCTGAGAGTGTTGCGCGGCGAGTTGTATAATAATTGTACGTGTTGCTCACTGCTTTGAATGGGGAAGCGTTTGCCAATTGGAATAATTATGCATGCAACATTATATCAGAACGGGCGCGCCCTGTGTACGGTATTACTTTAAACGGAATAAAAGAGTTACACCCCTGAACAATGCAATTACACGAGAGAGCATTGCGATTTCCATAAGAATTTTGCTACTCCATTAGCATAAAATTACACAAAGCCAAAATTTTGACAGATTAAGTTTGACAGTCAAGTTGGTTATTGAGATATTGATACAAATAAAAAAAGTCTGGGAAAGCTTGGTGGAAAACATTTACGGGAGTATAAAATGTACAATTTCATCAATTTTTATTGAAAGTAAAAAAAAATGAATAGGCATAGTTAATTAAAATATTTGATAAAAATAATTTATATAAAATTTAATTTTAAGCCTAAATTTAATATTGATTATAAAACAAGCCGCACATAATACTGTGCTGTAATATTTTATATAAATTTTTTCTTTAAAAATTTATGTTAATTAAAAAAATTAATTATTTAATTTATGATATTATAATACCGACAATCAATAGATATAGGAATATTAAGATTTTAAGTCCTGCTATTGTAGGGACACGGCAATTTAACATTTAAAACGTGTAAGATCAGAATTTTGAAATTTTAGACTGGCCGTAAATCATACATAGTTTTCGTTAAAAAAGTTGTACCTGGATCATGAAAATTAGGGCGAGCGGTAGGAACACGAAATTTTTTAATTCCAAATATGGTAACATAATAAATTGGGATAAAGAGAGAGAATAAAAAAAAAATTAATCCATTATTAAAAAAAGCTTCCATCCTCAACAATATTAAATTTTTTATTTTCTAATTATTATTATTATTTTTTTTTAATTTTCAACACTTATTTTGCTCTCCTATATATTTCCTAACAAACGAAATTTCCGGCCAATCCCAACATTTGGTTGTGCAAACACACATAAATTGATTTCGAGCAGGTTCTGTTCACGCGAAGGGGTGCGGCTTGCGAGGGGGGATGCTTTTGACAAAAACACAAATTACTAATACAGCAACAATGATGATGCCCGAGTGAATCAATAAGTATCATGTGTGCCTACGCATGATTCACGTGAGAGAGCGTTTGCATTCACGCAGCGCACGCATAGGGGTGCAGAGCACATGGGGTTGGGGTGCGGACGACGAAGGGGCGATGCGAGTTCAACGAACTCAGCAGCGGCGCCGGCGACCGAGGGATGAAGGAAAGAACACTTTCAGATGCATGTACAGCGCCGCGTGAAGATATAATCGAACAAAAAAGAAAGGAAAAACGCGCACGCACCCGCTTTGTCGGTGGTCTCTCTTCACTTTGAATAATATAATTCCTTATAGGCGCGGCGCTCTCTTGAGAAAAGAGAAAAAGTAGTGTGTCCCTGTCCACCCTTTGTGTACTTGTTCGGTGTGACACCCACGCCGTGACCATCGAATGCGCGGAGAAAGAAATATATTCCGGCCGCAATAAGAAATGCATTAACCCAGGTCGGGAGAGATATGCAAAAAACCCGAGTTGGTTATGGAAGAGGCAAAAAGAGCCGCCGCCCACCCCAACTCGCCCCCCAACGCCTCGATAAAGTAAATGCAGAGCAAAAGTCTCTCTTATTGTCAAATATAGGCGGACAAGGACATAAATAACACATCTTTCTTTCCGAGCTCGCAGCTTTAAAACTGATATCGATTCCGTCTAGCACCGAACGTTGACCCGGGCGGGTTTTGAACCCGCGCCCGCCCGCCCGCCGCCCGCGACCGCCCCGCCGACAAGAGAAGAGAGAGAGGAACAGCAGCATCAAACAGGGTGCGTCGTCCCCGACCTCGCACAACGCTCCGAATGTTCGCCAGGGTCTTTCATCCGCGGTGACGTCACGCACGGCGCTATTTGAAGCCGGCCGGCGAGAAAACAAAACAATTTTGCACATGCACACGCAGGTCTTTGGCCTCTCGCCATTACATGTTTGTCTCTGCCTGTGTGTGTGTGTGTGTGTGCAATCATCTGCGCACTATCTGCCGCTTTTTCCCGCTAATGATTTTAATGGAGGTGTGGTTGTAAGTGTGCAATCGGTCGCTGCATGCACCGTACGTTCTTCTATTGCGCGACGATGGACAGTTGCGAAAATTCGTCGTCCCCTGCCTTCGCATCACGCATTCATTTCGAAGATGAATGCCCCGAGAACGTTGCGAAAAGGGAGGCCTTTATGCCTCTTTTTGCTCTGCGGCTATATTCGCACGACCGAGAAATTTAACTTTCTTTTTCTCTGATGAAAAAGCTCTCGGTATACTTAGGATATTTTTTTGAAAATAATGAGCGAAATGGAAACTGATTTCAAACGGAATTATTCTCAGTTCATTTGAAAATAAAATTTTCTGTCATTTATTTTGTTTTAATGGATATTCATAAATATTCCAAAAACGTGAAGAAAACGAGCTTTGTCATCGCTGAAAAATTATTTTTATTCTAAATCAAAACAGCTTTTCCAGGTTTGGTCATGGTCTGCGACCCTATTCCATGAGCAAGAAAAGTTATAAAAAAAATCAGCAAAATTGAAAAACCTCTTTTTTAAATTTCTTGTATTTTTTTCTATAAAAAAATTTATTTATACTTAAAAGAATCTTCTTTAATAAGAAAGCGGACAGTTAATTAATAACTTACAGATAAAAAGAATGCATGCCAAAATTATTTAAATTGTTTTCTATGTTCTTTTTTTTTACGATAGTGTGGGTTCACGCGGTGGCCGATCTCTTTTAGATGTCGGGCGTTTTAGCAGACCTCTGCTAGTTGTGATACCCTTTCTGCTCATTTTTTTTTTCAAATCAATTTTTTTTCATGTATGACTTGAGTAGAATAAACAACAATATAATATTATTTTCGTTCATCCAATAAAAAGTTAATTATGATTTTGAATCATAATTTCTGATTTTAATCAGATTTTAATCTAAAGCATTCGATACAGTTTAAACCAAGTGGGAAATAAGTGGCTGCGCGATATGTTTCATTAACTGAATTTAAAAATTTGCAATCTCTACGCGGCCACGCAACTGCCCGTAATAACAGACAAAGTGCGCGCATCGGCACGCATGGATTGAGATTAAGTGATTATACGCGTCTGGTCGTCGCTGTAGCTGGAATGTTTGTAATTTAGCGGCTAATATTACGGCAATACAAGCCGTAAGTTCATATTATGCGCCCTCTCGTATGTACACCTCTATATATATGCATCATGCAATTTACGCGACAATGTGCCGCCTTGGCCGCGCAAGAGCGTTTGTTTACGCGAATATAATCGGTTGTGCAAAAGCACAAGAGTACTTTTATGTGACACGCGGACGTAAGAGTTACGACACAATTGCTCATCACAATGAAGAAGTTCTGCAAAACGAGTTGCAGTTCATCGTTTTTCAACGTGCGCTTGCATTGGTGACTCGGCAGGGGTGAATTTATTCAAATTATTTTATCGAGCATGTTTTCAAATAAAAATGAAGTTGTTAGCGCACGGCTGAAAAAGTTTTGCATTTCAATTGTATAATAAGCAAAGTTCTTCAAAGCAAGGAATGGAGCAAACTTTCATGATACTGCGTAATCTGGCCAATGTTGGAGTAGAGTGGAGTTTTTCTTTTCAAAGTTTAACAATGAAAAAAATGATTATCATATTTTTAGGTTTTAATTTAAAATCAAAACTTCACTGGAATTTATTGACTAAATTTTCGTAAGAAAAGATAATATGCATGGAAAAATTTTTAGCTTCAAATTTCGTTTAATTGTAAGTCGTATATAATAAAAGATTATGTTTGCATCCGGTAAAAAAAAGGAGTAATCTAATAAATGATTAAATTATTGATTTGCAGAATAATATTGGATAAATTATATTTATTATTTTGGGCACATACAGTTTTCAGAATAATGAATTAATTTTATAGCAAATTTAAATTTCAAATGCAATTTTTGGGATGGGATTTTAAGTTGAATTTTTTTCTTCAGAAATTTCAAGGCTTTGTCAACGCCTATACAGGACCGTCTCAATCGTCGTTTGGAGGCTGCAGCAGACTCTGAACGATGCAATATTATTACTTTTGTGCGGCGGTTTGATGCTCCGCACATGCAAAGGTCAACGTGCTGCCGCCGCAACTGCAATAAAATAATCAGCATCGCCAGTTCCGTGGTCTAAAAATGTGTACATGCAGCCGTGGGTTCGCGGGGACCATGGTGACGTCAGTGTCCTGCCCCTAATCAATATAGGGCGTGAAAAGTGCATTCTCCTTTGCTTCGAACGATCACCACTTTTCTACTCATTTCGCGCGCGCAAGAGATGAATAACCCGAGAGTTTCGAGGCATTGGCCGGAGCACCGGATCTGCAATCGCAACTTTGCAGAAATATACGCGAGGCCGCAAACTCCTGCGGTTTTGCTCAAATTGGACGCGATGCAGTAAACGAATCAAAATATGTACAAAGGAAGTGCGTTTCCTTTTAGGAATATCTTTTGTAATTTTACAGACGTTTCAAGAGTTAATTCACTTCCCTCTCTATTTCATGCTGAGTTGGCTCTGCATCTATTGAGCGCTAACATGATATAAGAGACATTTCTCAGCTTTCTCTGCTGGAAGAAAGTTGTTTTGTGTTTTTTCGAAATAAAATTTTCTCTCGGTATTTTTTTGTGTGAAGACGCTTCGTTAGAACAAATCAAGCCCGAGCTAATTTTATTATTAGTCAAGAGCAGCCGGCTTGGCTATTTTTTGCTTCAGCATGAAAGGAATCTGACCTCGAGTACGCATGTTGCAAAATATATATTGCCGGGAGTGCCGGGACTATGAGCGAATTGGCGCTTTTTCCGCGGGCTGTGGATTCTCTGAAACACACGGATGACGAAAGCCAATGGCATTGCTCTTTTGAATGTGCTTTACTTGGTGCTTTAGCCCAAGATGCATACGGACATCTCGTGATGGTATTTGGAAATTGCAGCAAATCAAAACAAACTAGCGTGGCACTCAAATTTAGCTACAATTTACTTATAAATTGGATTAATTTAATTTTTTTATGCATGAGAGTTGCCCGAAACTTATCAAAAATGCTCATAGGTAAGTAGATAATTTTGCAAAAATTATAAATCAACATTTGATTTTTCTAATGAATATGGTAAAATTATTTTTTAGATATTGGTGCAAATTTAACTGATGGAATGTACAAGGGGATTTACAATGGGACGAAGAGACACGAGCCGGACTTACCAAATGTACTCAAACGAGCGTGGGACGCAGGCCTGAAGCACATCATTGTCACAGGAGGGAGTCTTGAGGAAAGCAGAGAAGCGCTGGATATGGTCCAAATAGATGGTCTGTATTAATCTTCAGCATCTGCAAATAATAAAAAAAGAATTCAGATCGACTTAGCTGCACTGTTGGAGTGCACCCTACACGGTGCGGAGAATTTGAAAAATCAGGGGATCCTGGAAAATATTTGCAAGATCTGGAACAACTGATCAAAGACGGAGGTAAAAAAGTGGCTGCTTTTGGTGAATTTGGACTCGATTACGAGCGGACGCAATTTTGTGACAAGGAAACCCAGATGAAGTATTTTTAAATAAATTATTTCCTTATTTTATTATAATTATTTTCCTTAAAAGGTATCTCAAGATGCAATTGGAGGTGGCATCGAAATTTCCAGAGCTGCCTTTATTTTTGCATTGCCGAAAATCTGCTAAAGACTTGGCAGATGTTCTGTTTGGTTACAAACTGAAAGGTGTGGTGCATTCTTTTGATGGGACTTTTGAGGAAGCACAGGAATTGTTGAATTTGGGTTATTTCATTGGCATCAATGGATGGTAATTTGGATTAGACTGTTCATTTGAATTAATTAAATTATTCTATCTTCTTCAGCTCTTTGAAAACTTCTGATAATTTGGAGACGGTTAAGAAATTACCTTTGGATCGCATTCTGCTGGAAACCGATGCGCCATGGTGTGAAGTTCGTCCTAGTCATGCAGGGCATCCCTTCATTAAAAGCAAACCATTGCCCTCTGTCAAAAAGGAAAAATGGGTTGAAACATCAATGGTCAAAAGCAGAAACGAGCCATGTACTTTGAGGTAAATTTAAATTTTCAATTCAATCAGAATTTACATTTTTTTACATAATTGCAGGCACATTTTGGAAATTGTGAGCCAGTGTCGTGACGAGGAGATAAATTTTGTGGAAGAAGAGGTATACAAAAATACTTTAAAACTATTCAGTCATATTGATTAAAATCACTTCTGCGTAAAACAATTATCAGATATTTTATGATTTTTTTGTTCTACCCTCTTAAACGATTAATTTTTATTCTTTTAATTTAGTATAAGAGCTTTTAAGCTAGAATAATATTATAAACACCTAAGATCCTCTAAATTTCTGAAAACTGGTCAAAGACCGATCCATCGCACACCATTCGATAAGAGAGCCTGGCTGTGTTTATGGCATCATTTAAACCAGAGTGCTCTCGACCTTCAAAAGTTAGCCCCAGATCTTCAAGAGCTCCTTTCAGGCCTTTAGGAGTCCAACCGTAATTTTGCTAAAATTTTAGATTAATTTATTTAATAATGAAAAAAGAAACTAATGTCAGACAAATACCCTGAATGCAGATTTCAAATCAATCCATCGCTTCAGTAGAGTTGGAAAGTTTATGCTCTTCCTGGAGCATTCATTATTCAAACATAGCTTAAGGTCCCAATCTTTACATTTTTTTTGCAGAGTTAGTAAAAAATTGATGTGACATAAATGAATCCATACCAGTCCATGTTGCTATTGAAAAAAATGCAGTTTTTGGATGATTTAAATTGGATAAGCTGCTGCCTTCAAAAGCGACCATCTCCCTCTGGGCAACAACAGCGTCTACCCAGCTTAAGAACAGTTTTAAGCTAACACTCAATGGAATGCCTGCGTCGACTTGCTGTTGAGTGATTCCTAACAAATTCTTAAATTTTTTTTAGGAGATAAATTTATAACATGATTACCTGTAAATTTTTGGCAAAAATCACTTAGTTTTGGCTCCTCCATTGGCATAACATACTGTTGAAACCGATCCTCTATTACGCCAGTTTGCAGGTTGACAAGAACTGCAGGAAATTCTATGACTTCAGGAGGTGGCAGGGAATTCCCGACTCTGTCCTCCCAGCAAGTTGACTCAAAATCTATTATAATGAGATATTTGAGCATGTTTTTCTGGTGGGACAATTGCGCTGGAACTAAAAAATACAGAATTTTGAGAAAATTGGCAGGTTTTAATTTTGCATTTTTACCTGTATTTTGCATTAAAAATGATGGTGCTTCAGGCAGTTTTATTGACCCTGCCAAATTTGTTGTTTTCCATATTATTGGTCTTTGCAAATCTATGTTCGGAATGCCCTCCAATTGCTTCGGAACTGCGGCTCTTACATTTCCCTTTGAATCTGTAAATTTCTTTGCATCAAGCTTTGGCAACTCTAGATAGGATAGACAGATGTTGGTGCTGTTACACTTCCTAAAATTATTTATTTAAAAGGAAATTAATTTAGTAAAATGAGCTAGTCTAGTTAAAAATTGAAACGTACGCTGCCACATTCAGCAGGTTTTGCACAGCCGACTCCAAGGTTTTGTCTTTTGATCTTGTCTTCAGACCACTGTTCGTCAATGTCGAGGCTCTAACTTTTTTCAGCGCTGGAGAATTGGTCGGCGTTTTAAGATCATCAAAGTTTAACTGCACTCTAGTCTTTTTCATCCCCAGATTTTCAGCAACAGCCAGTTTCTTGCTACTGCTCCTTGTTAGACGGGTAGATTTCTTGCTGGAATCCTCAATGTCTGCTGATTTAGAAGGCATCTTAGACTGAAAATTTCATGAATTGTATAAAATGCGTGGTTCAAAATTCTAAATTATTAAAAAAAAATAATAAAATTTGACGATTTTGAGCACCATGGACCATGGAGGGTGGAGAGAGTGGGAGAGAGCAAAGATCTAACACAAACACACCATTTTATATATAAATGAAGAGACCAATAATTAATTTATTTACCTATTTTTCGTTGTTTATGTTGGATTATGACAAAAACAACAAAAGTCAACTCTCAAGAGTCAAAACTAAAAGCTCATCATCAAAACCAACAACAGCGGGAAAAATCATGTGTCTGATAATAAAGCAATCTGATTGGCTGCTCGAGCAAAGGCTCCTCCTCCCGATTGGTTAGTTTTCATTTCAGCCAAAACACATGGTGGCGATCAACATAAACACTGCAAGGCGGACGAATTCTGTTGATTTATTACTTTTCTGCATAAATAATTCACTTTCTACACTATCTTCCAATTGCTTTGAGCGTAATTTAACTTAATCCAAACATGCCATACAAATTCATCGGTCGGTCAACTTATTATTCTGGCAAAACGCTCTGGGAAATCGTTGGCAATTTGAAAGACTTTGGGGTCGGCCGAATTATTGCTAGGGGCAGATTTGAGCGGTATCCTGAAAGAAGTTGGCTGAAAATATTAGAAGTTCAACCAGTGGCTGCACCCAAAGATGTCCCTCTCTACGCCTACGATGTAAGCAATAAGAAACTGCGCCTTCTCTTTTATAGGCATGCCCGAATTTTTGGTGAAAATTTTTTGATTTCAGAAACCCCGATTCGTCAGTGTAAGATGTGAGAAATATTGGAGAGGGAAGAAATTGTCAGATGTCTTCATGAATGGATCAACATACAAAGCAGATTTCAAGTTGATTCCAAAATCAGAGGAAGCTGAATACTGCAAAGTGATAGAAACATCAGAAAAAAGGGATCCTCGACCAGCAACTGCTGATTTCCCTCCTTTGTTCAGAGTAAAATTTGCTATTTATTTATTATTGAAGCGCTGTATTTTATCTAACACTTGTCTTTGAAGGAATTATTGAAACGGGAAAAAGGAACGCTTTCCCACTTGACTCTGCAATATAAACGGACCGAGTACAATCGAATGGTGGATCCTTCTGGCCATGAAGTATCTAAACCTGACAAAAGCAACGCCCAATTTGGAAAGCCAGTCGCCACTAGATTTTATGAAAGTGTTTTGGAGTAAATGGTAAACAGCATGTTTTTCTTTCTTACTTATAAATTAAACTTTATTCAGTTCATACAAAATTAATCGCACTTGCTCGCTTTTTACAAATACGCATGTAATGTGCATTACTCGCTTTCCTCCAGACAATCACACCAAGAGCAATTATTAATGCAGATTGCTCCTGAGCGGAATGTCCAAAGTATTAATTCACTTGCTCACATTAAAAATTACTGTGGCCTTAATTAAACAGAAATAACTTATTCGTTTCAAAACACTAGAGCTAAGAGGGCTTCACATAACTTAAGACTGTTTGTTGTTTTGACAGTGAGTGACGATGGGCTGTTGTGTTTGGTGCTGCGAGATTAGAAGGGTTGTCTTGTGATCTGGCGGATCCAGTCGAGGTAGTGGGCAACCTTCACGTAGACTCCTGGTACTCCATACTGGCCACAGCCGATTCCCCAGCTCACAACGCCAACAATCTGCCAAGATCCTCCTCGTTCGCAAACCAAGGGACCGCCACCGTCACCCTATTAAAAAATGATAATGAGATTTAGTCAAAATAATAACAAAATGTGGAAATTGTAGAAAACACGAGAGTTTTGATTGAGAAACCAATCCTAGATGGGGGAAAGAGGGGGGTTAATAATTACCTTGCAGGCATCCTTTCCTTCTTCACCTCCGGCACAGACAAAACCAGGGTGGAGCTTGAAGTCATAGCCCAATCTGGTCTGCTGGAGCTGGCTTTGGCACTGGTGGTGAGAGACCATGGGGACGTCGACCTCCTTCAAGATGTTCTGGTACTTTCCAAAGTCTCCGAAAGCATCCTTGCCCCAACCAGTGGTGTAGCAGCGGGAGCCAGAGTAGTCTTGATGGGCATCAGGCATGCAAGCAGCGCTGATGTGAGGGCTAAAATTTTAAATGAAAATTTAGTTTTGAATTTTAAAATTCTTTCAGATAACTCACTTTCTCTGGAAATCAACAGGCCTGATGAGCTTGATGACAGCAATGTCATTGAAGAGGGTGCCAGCGTAGAACTCAGGGTGGATGGTCAGTCGGGCAACGTCCGTTTCAACATAGGGGTAGAACTCAACATCGTGGTTCACATCCCATTCTCCAAGACGAACTCTAAGCTCCTGGCCATTGTATCTATTGAAAATTTGGTAATTAGTTTCAATTGAAATTTTATTTTTTTATGTAAAGCTTACCCCTTAACACAGTGGGCAGCAGTGATGACGTGCTGGTTGTCAATCAAAGTTCCTCCGCAAACATAAACACTCTCATGGGCGTCCTTCTTCAGAATAGCTGCTTGCCAAGGGTATTCACCTGAAGCACAATAGAAATGTCAGTAATTACTTCGTTTTAAATTTATTTTTAGCTTCACTCACCGAACTCACTGTCACCATCAGCATAAACTGGGTTCTTGATTCTTCCGTTGATTCCCTGAGCATTTCTGCGACCGCACTGAGGGAAGCCCTGGTTCTGTTGGGGGGCATAAGCAGGACGTCCTGGATTTCTGCAGCACACCTGTCGTGGTCCGCACTTGTTTCCGTAGCCAAGTTGGTTTCCTCCGAATTGACGCTATAATAAACAAGGAACAGGTGAGTCAATTTTTTTTCATTATTGCCATAAAAACTCATCCCAAATAAATCCCTCACCTCAAAAGTAAGACACTTAAAGAGTGATTTGTTAGTGTGAGCTTAGCCTATAGTGTCAATTGTCAGAAATATTTAAAACGGTGTGTCAATTTGAAGGTATACAGTCCAGAAAAAAATAAAAAGTGACATTTAGTATATTTCATGTAAATGTAAACCAAGTATAGGTTATTCTAATTATACTTAGCTGAATCTACTTTGCCAGTCTAGCTCCGAGGGATGCAAAGTGTCAGGAATTTGAACTTATTAATTGAACGAGCGATTATACATTTTTGTCTCATTCCAGGGGTCAGTCTTTGGGTTGTGTCCTTGCAATTTGGGATACATCTTACCTCAGTTACCTTAACATTGGCATCACGTTTATCTCTGGGGAATTTGATAGCACGAGAGGTGGGAGGTATTTTGAAAGAATCATCAACTTTAGCATAGTTTTGGTAGTTTTCAGGGGAGGAATATTTTTGAGCGTATTGTGATCGCAAAGGTTGAGAAGGTCTGCTGACGGGAGGACCGTCGTCTCTCTCCCTTCCGGCTGGGTAGACGTATTCACCATCGTAGTCGTCATCGTATTCGTCATGCTCGGGCTGGCCCTTTCGATAAGGAACTGGTCCATATGGGGGGCGGAAAGGTCCAGGGCCGTAAGGAGGGGGAGGAGGACGCGCACCAGGAAGGATGAAGGGTGGAGGTGGGTGATCGTGATGGATGTGGCCGTGGTGGACGTGATGGACTGGAGGAGGCCCATAATAGCCGCCGCCTCCGAATCCGCCGCCTCCAATTCCACCGACCAGACCCTTGAATTTGTGCAGCAACCCCTTGTTTGGTGTCACGTGGAGGTTTACCAATGGTTTGATAATTTTTTCTCCGAAATCGTCTTTAGTGACTTGAATGGAAACTAAAGGATTGACACTGACTGGACCCAAACTGATTCCTCCTGGCCCGACGGAACCAAAGAAAGGGTTAACTGCGGAGGGAACGGAACCAAAGGGATTGAGAGGATAGGGTTGGCCGTAGCCGTATGGGAGGCCAAATGAAACGCCGAAAGTCGGCTTCACTTTTTCAGAGCTGCCAATGCCAAACAGTCGCTGCAAATGTACATGGACAAATCAGCGTTTTTGCGAAGTTAAATTTTGGATCTCTGACTCAATTTTTCAGCCTCTCATGTATACTTGTGATCTTGTGATTTTTTTCTAATTGCAAAATTTCATACTCATGCTTTTTTTATCGGGCTCTTAGTAAAGTGAACACACCATTTCAGCATTTTATTTGGTTAAAGTGGGATTTTAGGATGGAGGGAATACACACACAGTGGTCTTTTCTTATTCTGTTCTAAATTGTCTATGTGTCGCTGCCAAAGTTTGCTGTTTCTACACCTAGTCAAGTGAACCTCTATAGTCTCTACAACAGTCTTCAGTCTTAAGAAAATCGTATTTTCAAAAAAATAAAACGTGCGTATATGTTTATGTGCAAGAGGTAAACTTACGAGTTGAGGCTCCGAAGGAGCAGTCGTTTCCCCAAAACCATCAGTATCCCCATCAAAACTCCTCTCAGACTCCTTGTCAGCAAGCAATGCCTCCATTTCTGCCACCGCGTCAGGCGAATCTTTGCCGTTGCGTCCTGTCCTTGACCCAGCAACCTATCACCAACGCATTTTTTATATATTAGTCACTACAAAGCAAAAGCGATCAAGCGTGTTAGAAATGATATAATGATGAAGTTGTTAGTGATTTGTTTTGGGTTTTAGTGGTCATTAGGAATGAAAATGCAGAGAGTCACAAGCACATCATGAGGTGCACAAATTGATGAGACAGAGAAACCATTTTGACAGGGCAGACATCATGACAGGAGAGATCATGCTCTCGGAAATTAAAAATGAATGAAATACTTACAGGCTGGGCCTTGGTGTCCTTAGCAGAGTCGACGGCCTCCCTCCTTTTCCTTGGGGCCTCGGTCGAGGTGGTACTGTTGGCGGATTCGGTGACATTTTTAGCTTCAGGGTCCTCGCGCTTGACCTGTTCCTTGTTTTCCTCATCGGCGGGCTCTTCAGCCTCGATGGCGGTGGCGACATTCCTGGGGTCGATCAGAGAAGCAGGGTTGTCCTCCTTGCGGCCAATGACCTCATGAGCAGGGCACTGGTCAACAGGCACGCAGTAGCAGTTGTCAGATCTGGGAGACTCGTAACCATTGTAATTTCCAGCATAGTTGCTCTGTCCGCCGAAATTGTTCTGTCCGGCCAAACTGCTCTGTCCTCCAAAACTGTTGCTCTGTCCGGCAAAACTACCGCTCTGTCCGGCAAAACTACCGCTCTGTCCAGCGTAGTTGTTGAGGTTGGTGGCGGCAGCTCCGTAGATTTGCTTTTTGTTGTTGTTCAGGTTGAGTTCCTTCTTGTAGAAAGGAGCGCCGTATTCACCACCGGATGCTGAGAAGCCAGAGTTGTGTTCGTCAGCTTCCAGTTCGGGCTCGTAGATTGGAGGAGGGGCTTTGCTGAAACCAGGGTAGACACCAACACCTCCAGCTCCACCGAAATTCTGTCCGCCGCCGTTGAAGGATCCTCCGCCCAAATGCTGTCCTCCGCCCAAATGTTGTCCTCCGCCCAAATGTTGTCCTCCGCCCAAAGGCAGACCGCCACCGATGGGGCCTGCGCCTGAGATGGCGCCGCCGGGGCCGCCAGGGCCTCCGTGATGATAGTGGTGGTGGACGTGCTGAACAGGGCCATTAACGCCGGAAACGAGTTCCTTGTGCTGGGTCTTCTTGTTGAGGAATTCATCACCAGGGAAGGGAACGGGCTTGGCAGGGCCGTAGATTCCGCCGTTGATGGGTGGAGGACGCTTGAAGTTGGAAGGGTAGCCACCAGGACGAGGGTAGTTGCTGTAAACGGGACCGCCGTGACCGCCGTTGGGTGGAGGGAAATGTCCAGGATTGGAACCGGGGAAGGGGGGTTTGTAGGCGTGAGGTTGACGGACGGGAACGGCGGGAATGGGCTCTCCGACGGGCTTGATGGCAACGGGCTGAGCGTAGAAAACTTCTTGCGGCTGAATGTAACCCTTGCCTTCAGCTCCGTCACACTAAAATATAAAATAAATAATTATTTTGACTTAATATTTTGATTTTGTATTAAAAAAATTATTATTCAAGAATAAAACATAAAAAGTTTAAAGTGAACCGAAAAAGAAAAATATAAATTTTTAAAATGAACTATAAAATTGAGGCTTTTGATAAAAGTTGTGTTCTAATTTTATTGACAGTAAAGTTGAAAACTAACTTTTTAATTTTTTATATTTAAAAATTTAATAGAGATGATTGAGATAAAATTGAAGTTAAATTATTTGATTGCGTACATTCATCAGTCCAAGGTGGCAGAGGCGCTCCCTGACAAACTGTCTGGCCTGAGCGTCATCTCCGGAGGCGATGGCCCTCTTGAAAGCGGGCTCGCTTGCCACCTGCTGATATGCATCTTCGCCAAGAGTGCGTCCTTCGCGTCCCGACCTGACGATGGTTTCAATGATGGAATCAGTGTTGTTGTTGCTCTCCTGCGCCGAAGGCACAAAAATGGCTTTGGTCAGTTTTGCAGAGTCGGCTGCGGCCGAGGGCGGCTGGGTGGTTTCACCCTTGCTCGAGCCCCAGGCCCACTCCGAAGCGTGAGTGCAGGCTGTCAGGGCAGCCAAGCACGCGATTAGCGTGACGTGCCTCATTGCGTCTATCTGAAATGCAAATGTATCGTTAGAAAGTGGTTCTATATTTCTCGCCTGAATGATTTTTGCGGGGGTGCGAAGGCGATTTTCGTTTTCACTCTCGCACTTTTTCTTTTGTCACGGGCGAGACGGCTAATTGCATGGCACTTGATCTGTGTCAGCGAACCATTTTGGGATCAAAGCCGAGGGAGAGTTAAAAATCGTAGGTGCCGAGAAGGTTAAACTCGGCGAAATCTTGCGCATTTGTGTGTGTTTGCAATGAAACGCACTTCGCACGCCTACCTCACAACTTTCCATCTTGCCGCCGCGCTTGCCATATTGGCAAAAAAGAAACTTCTTAATACATCAAAAAGGATTATTGTTTATTCAAATGAGCGCCTTCGCTACAGTTTTAATCGCTCCTCGGCGATAAAATTTCTCTAACTACTTTCCTTGTACGTGAATTGCACCATTGTGCAAGTCTAACTGCTATGAAAACGCACACCTCTGCGGACAATACCCGATTGTGTAGGAGCAAAAAATGCACACATATGAGAGTAAAGTTGGAGCATTTCACGGTGCGGTAAATCGCGAGCACAAAAGGCGCGCGTGAAAGCAAATGATATTGACATTGAATATAAGAAAGGAAAAGAAATTTTCGTCTCCCGCCGCTGAGAGAATGGTTGCTCTATTTACTCTTAAAAACATATATTCTCAGCGACGGTCACTTCATTTGTGTAATTATTTTAACGTGAGCTTTAGAAAGAACGGCGCCGATCGCTCCAATACTATGACCGTGAAAGCAAGATGCACGAGAGCGTGGGAAAGTGGGCCATTTCTCCGCCGGTGTGAATGTTCAAATGTTAAGAGGAGCAATGAACTCGAAATAATTTGATCAAATCAGGAAGACTCCGGGCATTATAAAAATTAGCAACAATTTGAATGAGAAAGTTATTTCCGTTGGATTATAATAAAACTTGTGGCAATTTTATTTTAATTGGTATTAATTGTTTGATTGCCGATGAAAGTGTCTGTTAAAAAATAATATTCCGTGCAAAATTTACGTGATCGCCAATAGACGTTGACAGAATAGCGATGGAGCGGGCACTCTCTCTTTCAGGCAGGCAGACGCCCACTGGTGATACAAACATTACGTACTAATAAATCCATAATGCGAGAGCTACAGCGCACAGGCACTCTCTCTGCTCCTTAACTTTCACGTTCATGCCGTCTCGCTTGTGAGATCATTCACTTTTATCTACGATAATTAGTCGAGGTGGCATTCACCTTCACAAGACAAAATAAAATTTTTCAAAGCAGACTTTACTCTAAAAGAAAGTTAAAATTAAAAAATAAATTAAAGTTACTTTGACTTCAAAGTTTTTGAATCACTATTACTAATTAAGCATTACTGTTCAACTCTTCAATCTTTAAAGTAAAATTTAAATTTTTCGTAATATTTATTATAATTTCTATTTATTTAAAATAAAAAACAATTATTTGCAAAGGAAATTAAATCACTTACTCAACCAGCAAGACAACAGAGTAACTTCGCAGTAAATTAAAATACATAAGTATGCTGGGAAAGTATATTTATTTCGAAACATATTAATAATATATTGAATTCAATGAAAAAATTACAATAATTGTTTTGGAACGATTAAAATTTAAAAAGTTTGAAAAAAAATCCTTGAAAATATTTTGTGAAATTAAATTATATTTAAATATAATGAAATATAATATTATAAACGAACTAAATTATATAAATAGCCTTGTATATTTGCAAAAAATTGGTGCTGTTTAAAAAAAAATTTGAAAGGAGCGAAGAAGTTGAAAGTAGACTTGACTAACCTGATGTGCACCGTGCGATCGTTTGTTAGTCCTGTGGAGAACGGCTGCTTGGTGCGGACTGCGGTTTTGCGCCGAGTGTTCTGGGATATAAACGTCGGATGCGGAGGGGGCTGGAGTCGCAGACGCGCCGGCCAATCCAAAGGTGCAAGCAGGATACAGCCGAGAGCACTTTCTCTCTCAACGGACGGCCTTAACCCTTTGAGGTGCGATCTTATTATTTCCAGGGATGCACAAGCGGCTGGGATTTTTGGTTGCCAAACAGAAAGATATAGTTCCGTGTCACAGCCATGCACCGCAGCTCTCGTGCTGGGAAATGCTTTCTTGATAGTTCATCGCACCAGGATTTGCTAGGGTTATCAGTTAATGTATTAGAAGGCGGAATTTTTTACTCATTCGCGCAGAAAACAATGCAAGGAAATGGGATTTAAGGATAAGAACAAGAACCTTGTCTCGATAGAATCTACTTGTTGTAGAGTGTTTTTTATCCAGATAATTTTATGCTTCTCTAATTTACCATGTAATTTATATATTATTTATGTTATTTATATTTCCAACCTTAATATTTAAGAAAATACCACTCAGGTTTTATTCATTGACCAATAACAATTTTGACCCACCCTCCAAAAGATGATACTTGAATCGGCTTAATTTGAGTGATATAATCTTGATTAATTTTATTTATGGATGGAAATTCCAAAATTCAAATGCACCTTTGTCGGCTCAAGGGAATGCAATGCAGTCTTTTGTATTCTTCTGCATCTGCTTAGCATAATTTGTCTGTGCCATGTCATAAAAAGCCAGTTTATAATCCAGGTCTCTGAGCACACATTAGGCCCTGAGGGATTCCCCTGTCTGGTAACCCTTCAAAGTCATCTACGGATCTTTGATTCTGCTTATTGCGTGGAGGTGTGACTTGTTCTATTATATCATCGGCGATTAGAGTAGCTGTGCCAAGCGCGGTGTTTGCTCGGCACTTGTGCGTTCCTCTTGTGTTGAGTCGTGCCATGAATGAAATCGAAAGTGTTTTTGGGTCGCCGACTCAATGAATTGTGTAATTTGCACTATGGGGAATTACAAGGAAAATTTTTATGGTGGTGTCAATGTCAAATTTAGCATATGGATCTAGTTCAGTCAAATTAGAATTAGAAGATACAGTAAAAAAATTGTTAACATTAGTCTGCGTTATATTATAACAGTCCCTCTCAATGCAATTTTTTTTTATAATTTTCCTTAAAATGAATAAATTTATCAAAACAGTAACGTAATTTGATAATTACATTTATTCAATGCCATTTCATAATCAATGCAAATGATTAAATTTTCTTGTTGATTATTGTTTTGATTTTGATTGAGTGTTTTTGTCCAAAGTGCAAAGCAATGTGCGCACTATATACTATCTTTCTGTTTTAGTGCTTCGCAGTTTTTGTTTATTTGAAATTTTGATTGATTTTCTGATAGATTTGCATCGCTGATTTGCGTGCCTCTCATTCACAGCTGTGACTTTTGATTAAGTTAACAAAGATCACATTAACTGAATCGTTTTCTTATCAACTTCATTACTATTCTTTCTCGCTGTCATTTTATTACCATGGTACAATAATTTTCTTAAAAAAATTATGCGTGGCGACCGCTATAGCATAACAATCAGACGCCGCATTGCAATAATTGAATAATTATTAATGTAACCGCTGGTCGCTTGCGAATTTTGAATGCACACGCCGTCTTTTATTATGCATTGCGACTTTCTCCCGGATCTTTGCATCTGAAAAACCGGCGTGCTAGAGAGAGGCCATCCTGCTGCGGAAACTGCAGTGACTCATTCAACACCTTCCGCGCCAAAAGTGCATGTTTTATTGTTTTTTTTTTATTCAAAATTAGGCTAATCTACGGACGGACTTCCTTATTTTGTATAAAAATACTTAACAATAAGAGGAATTGTTCCCATTTGCCAGCGCTTCCCACAAAGTAATTTAGAGACATTGAGCATTGAACTCTGAAATAAGAAATAATTTATTAGAGATCTTATAAGATTTAATTTGTTTCAATTTTTATTTAAAAGTAGTTGTGATTTTTACATTAAAAACATAATTATTTTGCTAATATTTTGATCAATTAAATTTATTGTACTTGGTAGAATTAATGGAATCTGGATTTAAATTGATTTCTATTACTTTTGTAAAATTCATTTATTTTAAAGGGGTTAAAATTTTTAATTTTTAGTTTTATATTTTAACTTTAAATTTAAAACAAAATATTGGTCATTTACAAAAATAGGCAAAAGGTTTATGAACCCTCGCAAAATTTTTGCAATGTCTAAATTAGTCAAGAATTAATAAAAGATGCTTAATTTTGCGTAATTTTGCTCATCTTTTAGTACAATAATTGTACTTTTCTTTGTTTCTACTTGTCCTGTAATTTTTATAATTAAACAAACAAGTCGGCGTTACAAAATTATCCCGCCTCCTTTTGCAAACACTTCTCACATTTAACAACTCCCAGCGTGAAAACGCAGCACTTGAAATTTAGAGCAACACATTGTATAAATTCCAAATTACAAGCGGGCAAACAGAATGCAGGTCTCCTCAATTCCCAAATGTTATGCAAGATGAGTTGCGGCTTGCGATAATATTCCACGAGTAATTAGCACATTAGCACTTATGATGGGATCGTCTCCAAGTGGAAAGAAAGTCACGATGACACTCCGCCGCCGAGCGATTTTTGTTGTTAGCGCATATTAAACAAAAACACTTTCTCCGGTGCACCTCTATTCAAGTCGCGCCCTATGATGTCTTTACGCTTTCGTTTGTCTTTGATCTTTCCTTTAAAAAATTGAGATAAAAATTATTTTAATAATATATAGAGTTTGATTCCAAAGCCTGGGCAGCGTAAAGAAAAATAAATAACCATCTGCTTAATAGTTTGTTGCATAACGGAATTGCAGCGCAGGGAATCCCCGCTGGAGTCGCCAGGGATAGACTATGGTGCTCGTTGCGTTAGTGGTTAGAGCGTATCATATTGAGTGAAAGTGATTTTTTATTCTAAAGGCACATAAGCTTTTATACCTGGACGTGCCGGGAAAGCCCTGTACATGCTTCAGGTCAATGATTTTTTTTCCAAGAAATAACATTTTTTCATAGTTCACACTTGATTATGTTATTAAAATGAAGTTGTTGTTATTTCAATATTTTTTACTTGATTTGTATTGATTTGTATCTTAAGAAAATAATATGAAATTTTTTTGTGATAATTCTTTTAAACACCCCGATTTTCTTTTGGTGTTCTTTAATTAATTTTATTCTAATCAAAATTTTAGAACAATTTTTTAGAGATTGGATTCCAAAAAATGACTAAGTTTTTGACAATGACAATGATATTTAGTGGTCGTGAAAACTCATAAATTTTCTGCTCTAATATAAAAATGAAAGAAGTCCATAAATTTTAAATTAAATATTGAGGAGTAAATATTTTCATCGTCATCGTTTTGTTGATGAAGTTATAGATTTACTTTCCACTCTCCTGCATGAAGAGGAGCCGAGCGCCAACTTGAAAGTTTGTTCTGATCCTATAGAGGATGACTCATAGTTGGATGCTGTTTAGTTCTGAGTCAGGTTACATTCCAAACAATATACACTTTTATTTTTGTATGCATCATCTATAGTAAAATTTACAATCTAGTTAAAAATTAAAAACAAAAAAAAAATTAAAACGTGAAAATATTAACTAAACAAGGAAATGAATGCTTTCCAAAGTAATTTTTAAATGCATAAGATCCAATTTTTAATTAGATCTCAATCTTCTCATAACTAAACTACGCACTCACGTTAACAATTAGAATTTAAAAAATGATTACTTTGGTTCAATTTCTCCTAATTTTTTTCCATTTTTTACACTCATTTTAATCAATTCATTAAATCCTATTCAGTGCTTTTTTTATCTGACGTGGCTGACGCCGGCATTAATTGATAAAAATGATGTAATTCTAGGGAGAGCGTTTTAAAGTTTCAAGCTGTTGAGCAGCACCTCAGGGCCAATAGGACCAAATTTATCTGCGATTGATAACCTTTACAGCTGCCAACCGGCCCATAATCATATTATAATATTTATTTAAAAATATTTTGAATTAATTTACGCGATATGAAGAAACGCCATAGCCGAGTTATCTGTCAAAAACATTAGTGTGCTTGACATGTGTGAACTTTGGGCAGTGCTGATTAAAACTGGAACTTGCTTTCTTGTCTGATCGCAACGCGATTCAAAACTGAGTTCTAATTTTTAACAAACATTTTTTTTTGCATTATTTATTTAAATCTATATTCAGATTGAACAGTATTATTTAGATGGGAGTGGTAAGGGTCATTATCACCAGAGTCCCTTTTTTATATCATATGGAAAAGTAAAAGTTTGGTCTTTGCGTGCAGGAATTTAATTGCTAGACTGCGTTTTGTTTGAAAAGTGCAAAACGATATTGGCGTCTTGTCTCACTTTCACGCCCGTGGTTACAGAATTTGCGCGACAAGAGACAAAGATTTTTATTTTTATTCCCACGAAATTCGCGCTTGCACGCATTTAGCATGCCATCTTGATGTGTTATTAAATGACACACACAAAAAATCTTTTGTTACTCATTGTATAAAAAATTGTTCTTCAAAACTTTCATAAATAATGACAAATCGAGCTTTGTCTGTTTATGCTTTAGCTTCCAATTATTTTTAATTCAGCTGACTTGACCATTTAATCAAAGTTTTGTGCATTTTTATTTATAATGTAACTCAAGTATGCCAGTTGAGAAAAGTTTGAATTGCCTTTTGAACCTTTGCAATTTTTTTATTCAGACGTCACAGTACTTCATCAAGTTAAATTGTGTGCTTTTTTAAAAATAAGTAGCGTTCCAGCGTTAAAATCTATTTTTCTTTTAATTTTTTATCAATTTTGTTAAAATTATTCTAATACATTGTTTCTATAATTTTCTGAAGGTGACTCGTAGCATTTTGTGATTGGTTTGCCCTTGTAGGTCTCTTATCACCATATCAAAATCTGATCCCAAAGATAGAAGCGTAAGGAACCAACCCACGCGACTAGCTTGCACGAGAGCTAAATAAAATTCGCACAACCTGCACAATCGGTCGAGTGTTTTGTTCACTCAATGACCCTGAGCACCGCGTGGTCCGGCGTCAGGTTTTGCATATATGATGAATGCGTGGCACGAATTTGCAAGATTTAAAATTTCTTATACAATTCAAATGAAGTAAAATTTAAATTTTTTTACTTCTGCAAGGGTCTGGCAAATTTTGAAATTTCACATTGCGAAACATCACCGTTTAATATTGCTATCTAGATTTTCCATTCGCTTCTGATGTTGTTTCTGATTGCAACCACAAACAAAAGATTAAAACACAATCATTCGAACTGCGCTTTTTTTCATCACATGTCCAAAATGAGAAAAATTTTATAACTCGTAACACGCGCGTAGATTAGATTCGGTAATTAATTATGGGCCACTCAAGTGATAAAAAAAAATTTAACCGCTTAGCGGCCTCCGGCGCCGATTGATTATGTATTTTTTTCTTTTTGCTTCATTCTTATTAATCGCAAAAAAAAGTTATTGCACTCTGTGGGCAATTAACAGCACACCCGCTCGTAAAGTGGAGGCGCGCAAGAAATGAACAATGACGTTTTATGGCCAGTGCATGGCAGGTGTGCAATTTTAATTTGTTTCTCCGCCGATTTTAATGTTCTTCGGCAGTAAATCAGTTTTGATGAAGAAGTGTCACGCGGCGTAAATCGGGCCCAATAAACTTAATACAAATAATGACAACATCATCCACGGCTTTTTTCCATTCAGGTTAATTTTATTTGAGCCTTGCGAGATGTGAAGCCAGCTTTTTATGTTTGGCGTCCTATTAATTTTTCTTCCGCGTATTGTAACAATAATTTTTATTGCCCGAACGCCATTATGCAGAAACGCATTATTCATCTAAATGCATCTCCGCGCAGTGGTTCGCCTTGTTCTTTTTATACTATTTGTTTTTTTACGACCGTTTGCCGAATGACAATCATAGACGCAGCGTTAATTTTTTCCCTTTTCCTCTGAGGGGTGTTTCGATTTTCGCGGATTGAGAGTCGCTATCGCAGTCTGAGGATTGATTCCGTTGGTTGCACGCGGCCCGTCAGCTCAGAGATAATACATAAAAAGCAGATCGCGGACCGCGCGCACGATCTGTTCTGCGTTTGGTGGCATCATGAGCACCACTGCCGAGCCCCTCAACGTTCACCGAAACGCGCCCTGGATGAAGACCAATCAGGCCAACAGTATGTGTCGCAATTTTCTTTTACTCCGCGTCAGTAAGATTTACAAATCAATTTTGAATTATTTGAAGCTTTTGAATTTTTGGAGAGGGCCAAGTTTGCATTTATCAATTTACAAATTTTACAATTTTTTCCAAATTGCTATTTAATTTTTTTAAATAATTAATATTTGATTACATAGAGCATAATACATAGAAAGATTTTAAAAATACGAATTTCAATAAGTAAAATTTTAAAAACTTTTTTAGAGGGTTTGCTTTTAAGTTTCTCAAATTTTGATTTCATTACAAAAGAAAAACCATTTACTCATAGAACAACTATATTTATTCGATTTATTCAAAGCAGATAGGCTGGATTATCTCTAAATCTGAAATCTAAATGAAGGAACAATCTCTCTGATTTTGAAATATGATAAGAATGAGAAGTTCTTTATTAAAAGCATTGGCAGCAATCTTGGTATATAATTTTGTATGATTTTAAATTTTTTCCAAATATTGCTTACGAAAGCTAATTTTTGATCAACCATATCAATTCGTAACAAAGGAACAAAAAAATTCAGTGGACTATCAATGATAAGTACTTATATAAAAATATTACATAGCTTTAAAATGAGATAATATCAAAACTTTTATGGACAAATGTGCCATATCATCTTAATGTGTTATGATTCTCTCCGCTATCAGAAATTTCTGAGCATTCTGCTAACCTTGAAGCTGAGGAAAATTTTTGCTGCAAAATTTTTACACTGAATCATCATTCAGTGTAATAAAAATGGGATTATTTAAAAAAAAAAAGTCTTTAAACTTGACAGAAATTGACCTGGAAATTAAAAAAAAATATAAATAAATTCTTATAACCTTGATTAATTCTTGTAAAACGTGACTTTCATTATTATATCACGACCATAACAAACTTTTCGCATTGGGTTCTTAGGTCCATCCTCTCTTTTCTTTGTTTTAAGGCGAGGCGCCGCTGCTTATCTCAAGATGCATTTCAAAAGCTGGCAAGCAGAGGATTTTATCTCGTTATCAAATTTAATCTCGATCACTCACATTTGCAAATCAATCAATATCACAATTCAGTAAATTGCTCATTATAGGATCACGTTCCCCACTAATGATTTTCTCAAGAGCAGCCTCGTATCAAAAAATTTTTTAATTTGAACAGGCATGTGTGAGCGTGATAAAAATTTCAACTGCCATTGTTTGATGTAAAATCGCGCAAAACACACTCCCACTCGCTTTTCACTATCTCCATATACCAGCGCAATAATTCAACGTGTAATATTTTGAGAGGAAAATTTAATTTAAATGATTGCCAAGAGCATAATGATTTTATTTACTTGTCCTTCTGACCCCGCTCACTGACTATATCAGAGGCGGCAATCTCGAGTTGAAGAGATGACCTTCCATTTTTGGCCACCAAGAAGTATAACATTAATGGGGAACTTTTCGCAATCTTAGGTGGCTTTGTTGCTCGGGGTCGCCGCAGCAGCGTCACGAAGGACGCGCAGGTCTTCGGCAAAGCCATCAGCCTCAAGCCGCACCGCATCTGCGGCGTGTGCGGCGACCGCGCCAGGTCCCTCCACTTCGGCGGCCTCTCCTGCGACAGCTGCAAGGCCTTCTTCCGAAGGGCCGTCCAGAGCGGCACCTACAGGAACTTCCAGTGCCCCCACCAACCTGGAGGTAACTAATTCACACACCCTTTCCAGGCGGCGAAGTGGGAAGTTTTGTAAAGGTTGTGATGGAAAAGTTACTTTCAGGATGGAACAAGTTCTGCGTGATCACGGTCGCCTCGAGGAAGAGCTGCCAGAAGTGCCGGTTCGAGGCGTGCGTGCAAATCGGAATGGAGATTTCGTGGGTGATGAGCGAGGCGGAGAGACAGCGGCTCCTCATTACCCGCATGGCCAAGAAGCGAAAGCCCGACGAAGAGTCGCAGTGCTCCACCCCGAGCAGCTCCACCTCCGAGCCCACTAGTCCTGTTCTGCTCAACAAGTCCAGACCACACCAGGACTATCTATGGCCTCTCTATCCAGACAATGTAATTAATTAAATGGATTATTTAAAACAAAGCGATTTCTTTCAAATAGCTTTAAATAATTCTTTAGTTTAACTTAAAAATAATTGTTAGTTATTATAGTTTAATTAAAAATCTTTTCTCAGAGTACAATTTTTCAAATTTTTAGTTACATAAATATTTAAATAGAAGTTAAAAATTTAAATAATATAAACAATTAGATTTGAACTGATTTAAACTTGAAAAAATAACATTCTTCATTCTTCAAATTGTTGTTACCAGGCCAGTTATGTTGCCCTGCTTGCCCTAATTATCCGGGTTTCAATTAAGTTTTTTTTAATTTTTATGACATAATAAGGTTAAATTTGTTAGTCTTTTAAAATTAATTTCTTAATTAAAAGTTTAAATTATGGTATGTATTACATTATTTGAAGCCAAGTTTTCCTCTCACAGTTTCAGTTAAACCATGTAAAAACCTCTTAAAGAAATAAAATATCAGTTTTGTCTTTTCCCATAAGATTGAAGTCGGTGATAAAATTAATGATTCGTAAATTTTATTTCATATTTTATAATCATTTTACTAATGAAACTTTTATTTTCAGATTTGTCTGGAAAATTTCATGAGTCAAAACGAGGCTCTTTCCGTTGAAAAAGTGAAATTGGCGTGGACATCTGCAATCCAACACGTTCCACCAACTCGCCTCGAGGGCCGCGATTTGAATAACATGAATTTTGATCACGCTGAGTTGGTCCGAGCCATCAATGGTTCCATCAGACGGTTCCAGGCGTTTGCAAGTCCACTCTTTGTTGATACTGACGTAGCTGACGAGGACAAGAAGACCATTCTGAAAAGCTGCATGCTTGATCTTTGCATTTTGAGAGCGTAAGTCAATTAATTTAATTTTTTTACAATTTTGCTATTAATTTTTAATTTTCAGTGCCCTCAACCATTTCAGAGGCGCCATCCTTCTGGAGCGCTTGTTCCCAAGCAATCTGCACGAAGTGCATATTCGCTTTGTCCGAAGCTTGCAAGAACTTTCTCTAGATCAAACCACCATGCTACTTTTCTTGGTCGTCATTCTACTCAGCCCCGATCGACCGGTGCTTCAGCAGCCAAAGAAAGTGGAAAAGCTCCAAGTAATTACTTTTATATAAGTCTAAATTGAATCGATTTAAAATGGAATAATTTTTTAGGAGTACTATTTAATGATCTTGTACAAATACATGGTGGGACGATACGGGACGCCCAAGGCCTCGGCGCTTTACCCGAAGCTTCTGAGTAAAATGGCAGACATCCAAGAGCTCAGCGACTGCCATCAGGAACAATACTTGAGCCTGGCGCACCACGAAGTACAATCTGTGAAGGAGGAACTCAGCCGAATTCAGTGCTCCGAGTGTCCTCCTCCGTCATACGAAGTGAGCACGGCCGCATCCTATCCCAACCAGCAGCTCCACCTGAGCTCATTTGACCAAACCTTTGCTCCGGTGTCTCCAACTGGCCAGCAACAGTACATGTCTCCGTCCTCTCAGAGTTACTACTCGCAAACCTCCCCGATGAGTGACCCCAGCTCCGAGGTTGGCTACATGCCCTATGATGAGAAACAAGGTTTCTTTTTTGATAGTGTGAGTGAATGCGGCCAGCCAAATAATTTCATTCCCGACTATCAAAATAATACTCTCCAGCAAGGACAGTGCTAGTAAGTTTAGTTTTTATTTCAAGTTTTCTTGTTTTTATCTGAAAATTTTAATTCACATATTAGTCTTAAAAATAGCTGTAATTTTGAGTTTATAAAGAAATGATTTTTAAATTTCAACCAAAACTTTTTTGTATTGAAGTCGTTACATTTCCAGCCCTTCAGCAATGTGCTCTCCAGAGGTGCAGACTGCCCCCTTCCAATTCCAACCCAACCAGCAGTACAACTTTGCGGAAAAACAGCTTCTGCCGTACACAGAGGTGTGCAATGAACTAAATCCGCGACTGATGAGAACCAATCAGGATCTGCCTTCGTGCCTCGACACCAGTATTGGTTCCAGCCTCAGTTCCAACTACGGCTCTAGTCCTCGAACTCCAGGCGGTGAAGAATATTTGTCTCCTGATTTTTCGCCAGCAGTATTTTCGCTTGACAATGACAACACAGATAACACCAGTGCCTATTTTAATGTATTCCAGAAGTGTTGATAATAATAATTGTCATGATTTGTGAGATCACACTGATGAAATAAAAGTACAAAAATCGTCCTGGAACTAGACCGTAATTTTTAATTATACTGCCTCTTAATGGAAATATAAAAACTATTATAACCAATAAAACGTGCCTTTTTCGAAATTAAATAAATTCTATGTTACCAGATTTTGAAAAAAACAATTTTTCAAATACTTGGTTTTTGATTCATTATTAAATAAAACAAACATAATACTAAATAGAAGGAATTTTTTATCAATATATTCTGCTAAAAATATAAAAGTCGTCATGTCTGATTATTTTTTAGATATGCAATCATATCATAATATATTAAAGCTTCATATCCTTGAGTATTAACTGTACCTTGCAGTTAATGCTGATGTTCAGGGAAGGGCTATTTTTAAATTACTAAAAAATTGAGAACCACTCAGACTATTAGAAATCCATCCCCTCAGTCCAAGAACTGAGGGTGAACGATCATCAATGACATAAGAGTGGATAACCACACAACAGTCCTTTTCACGCTCAGGATCTCTAATTGTCACTCTTCATCGTGGAGTCTCGGGGTGCAAAGTTGTTTAACTATGCGGGCGATACATACTACAGAAATGATCCTGTGAAGTATGATCTTAGTTAAACATAGGTTTGACTTTCTGGTCGGTACTTTTGCTCGTGACCATATTCGCGTCTATGCTGGGATTTTATTATTGTTATCCTTATTCACTCTTATTATAAGCTTTCCTTCTTATAGTTTAAAATTTTGCTTACTGGTTTTATTATTTTATTGAAATGATGTTAGTTACGCTTAAATCTACAATTAAATTTATAATTAAAAATAAGAAGTAAAATTAAAAATTACTTTCAGATGCCATCTATTGAGGAAATTAGGTACTAGGGGACAGCTCATGTTGCCCTTGAAAATGCATTTTTATTCTTTATTGTAGTTCTATTTTAAAGAAAAATAGAGCAGCAGAAGAAATAAAATTTAATTAAAAGAGAGCTAATTATATTTCTTGATATTTGAAGGTTGTAAAAAGACTATAAAATGCACCGCCCGGGAATCGAACCCGGGTCGCAAGAATGGGAATCTTGCATGATACCATTACACCAGCGGTGCGCACAAACTTACTAGAGGCTGCAAAATGCCATATAAACTCAAACCTAATATAAAGTAACATTAATATTTTGTAGCTTGTGCAGTGTCGGCTAAAATGTCGAGTTTGCTGAGAAACAATGATATTTTAAATTTTACTTAAGAAAAACAACGTTGTTTTTACTTTCATGTTCTATAAATAAATACTTATTATTTCGTTATCTTTTATCTCTCCGCTCTCCGCGCTTGCCAAGGTTTTAGGACATGCGAGCGATCGGCAAAGTTGGCCCTACTGGTTTTAGCTCTACCTACGACAGGCTGGGCTGAAGAAGTACGACAAATGGTTGAATGAGAAAATGTACACGCTTTCAAAGGGTCCAAGTAAATTTGTCGCCAAGGCCAGAAGAGGTGAGTTTAGCGAGGTTCCATCAGGACATTGATGAAATGTCTCTTCCTCCTTTCCAGTTGGACTCAGCCAAAAGATCGAGCGACTGGACTCACGGGATCATTCTCGACGAACAGCTGAATGCAACGGCAATGGCGATGAGAGCCAAATTATGAAGTGAGTTTAATCCCAACAACTTGAGGCAGTCCCTAATTTTAAACCCAGATTATACTGGAAAGTGTTCTTTATATCGAGCTCGACCCTGAGATTTTTTTTTTTAAATCTTACTTTTGGTTCAAACCCTAAAATTTTGCTGACGTAATAACCAGCGTGCTCTCGCATAAATAATTTTTAACTAAGTTATTTTTGAATGATAACTTTGAAAATATTTTAATCTTGTTAGCTGGTTTAATAATTTTCTCAACAATTGATCAATAATTTTTGTGTGCTAGTTTAATAAATAATTGCGTGAAAACGCATTTTTCTAATGCAAATCAACCCTCAAATCTGGCCTTGAGTTTTTTGGGAGGTACAAAAATATCCTCTTGTTGTAAAGCTTAGTGGACATTCTTGTTCTATATGCCAGTCACACACCCATTAAGCATGTTTGTGTCTTTAATTTTAGTAATTTTAATTGCCATTGTTTTTCCCTTGACGCCTAACAAAATTAATTAATTTGTTTTTCCAGCCAACCGAAGCCGGTATTTAATAGTCTGAACAGAAAATTTATCAGCCAGAGATCACAGCAAGAAGAAATTACTCCGCAACATGAGGAACTCGTCAACTTTGTCTATGATTGTACGTCTGATTTTTTTCTTAATAATTGCTAATTTTAATTAATTCAAAGGCAAGTTATTGCCTCATAAATGACCTTTTTAAATTATATCTTTTTTCAAACTACTTTTTTGTCTCATCATAAATTTAAAAGAAAAGTCATGCACATTTTTTGACTGCTGGAGGCTTGTCTCCTTTTATCTCCACTCAGATCAAAGGTCCCTCGTAAAATTTTGGCAACATCAGATAAGGAGTTGTAATGCAGTTTCATGGTGCATAGGTCGTTTAAGATTAAGCATAAGTGTTTCTGATAATTTCCTATAAAATTTTCTATTTTTCAGCATGGAACACGGTATTCAAAGAAATCGAGGCTGAAACCCCTGATAAGAACCAAAGTAAGTTCAATTTAAAGAGAAATAAAACTGAGAAATCACAGAACGCACATTAAAAAATGATCACATGATTTTAATTTAATTAATAGAAATATTAATTGATTGGAATTTCAGACACAAAAGGCAACATTGCCTTCTTCGAGAGCCCCGACGAATGCCAAGAGCTCCAAGGTAAGAACCTTGACCATATTGTGTGTTGGAGTTACTTTTAATAGACACTTTGTTTGAAGATTTCAAGCCCTTTGACCTCGAGGGCTGGTGGGGCAAGCGACTGTTCAGCAAAATCACCGAGTCGCTGTAAGCGTTGGGAGTGTGTGCTCAGTTTTGTGATGCAGAGACACAAGCCGACACATTACGGAGCTGTGACATGATTTTTCCGAAAGACTCACTAGTTGTTATATTCGCGAGTACCATTCATTATTTGTTCATTTGTCGATCATCAACATGCCACCGGTAGTCGATCCTCCAAGCACAAGGCCGCGATCGCTTTCTGTCCGGAAGGCGCCTAAAAACTATATATTTGAGTTCAAGTAGACACAGAAAGCAATTCTCCACCGACAGCAGTGTCCAGTGGTAGAGGGCGAAGTAAGAATATTTTGAAAACCAAAGACTGTATTGCGAAATATTGAAGATATTATTTTATAGAAAGAAAAGAAGCTAAACACACGACATGTTCCTAAGGCCGAGGGTAGATTGAATGAGTTGTTACTAATTGTTATGGATTTGCCTCTCGGAACGGAACATTGCGCAGTTTTCAAAGGATATCTTCACTCTCTGTGAGCTCTCTTTTCGTTTTTCTTGCGACTTGCAGAGATATTCTCCGTGCTTACCTAAATTCGGCTGAGCTTCCGCTTGTATAGATTTTGACAAACCAATCTTGAGGCACCCGTTCTACATTGTTTCGATTGGTTTGTTTTAATCCGAGTGGGAACCCTGACGAGCCGGCGATATAAATAAAGAAATGTAGTTCAAAGTGTCCGTAAATGTAGTGAGATGTGACAATTTTGCGATTAGGGTTTTTCTTTTGTTACAAAAGACAGGGAGTTTTAATGAAAATCAGGGCAGCTTGTGCTAAGCTAACTAGCATATCACCTCTTCTGTTAGTTGTTTTCTTAATTATTGCACAAAAAATAATGTTATTTGTTAGTCACGACCGACTTGAATGTGCGATCAAAATTCTTTTTATGTACAATTTATTGTGTCGGTGATAGAGCAGAATTAAGTGACTAATAATAAGGACGGTTTCAATCTCACTCAGTGTCAGTTAGCTCAATTTGTTCTTTTAGAGGAAACATTATGCTTATACCGTCGATTTTTATGTTCAAAGATTGGGCCTTGGGAAGTTCAAAACTTTTTGACTGAAGCTCCATCCGTATTTTATTTTTGTATGTTGATTTGAATTTTTAATTTAGTGTCGTAAATTGAGCTTTGGTCAAGAAGTTTGGAGGGCTTTCCAGGTAGTTAAGTGTCAATCAAGAGTGACTAGTTGCATTTCTCGTCAGAGTAGTACATTAATAGTTCATAAACAAATATATCTGGCGGCCACTGATAGTCAGGGGGGCTCTTTTTGAGAGCCCTGGTCGGGCAGTCGTGACCGCCTGCTGCCAGGCAAGCCGTCTCTCGTTGAAGACGAGCAAGTCACTGGTGGTGCATTGTTATTTTTTGTGAATTTCTAATAAATCAGAAAGCCTCGGGCTTTAAAAAAAAAATACGAAAATTTGTTTTATAAGGAATTTTTTTATGTTCCTTGATCATAAAAAGTTTCTTGCTCTTTACCGATGTTATTACAATTTTAAATTTAAATATTTGAAAATGTAATAAAAAAAGACAACAATAACAAATAATTGAAGCAGATAATATTCAATTATAAAATTTAAATTTTTTTCTGTTTGTAAATTTTAATTTATTTATAGTTCTGATGTTTAATTTAAATTTTATATTAATTTGAATAAATTATTATCAGTAATTAAATAATATCATAAAAATTATTATATTATTTTATTCTTCTCGGTTAATACAAAATTTTTAAATTGGAAAAAAAGAATGAAAGGGTTTACAACTAGCATATTTTATGTCTGGTAAAACGCCAGAGTAATGTAATTTAGAGTAAAACAAACAGATCTTAAATTGAAAAAATAAATACAAATTTTTTTGTACTGTGCCGTTGATCAACTTCCAACTTGACATTCAAGCAAAGCCAGTTGCATAACTGTGTTCTAGAATTACAAAAACATGGCAGGTGCTATGTATGCTTCTCTGCAACTAAAACTTGTCTTTACTGTGTGTGTATTTTTTTTCTAAATCCGTTCAAGATTGAATTAAATATTTATTTTAACAAAATTGTCATTTTTTATTTTATTCAAATCTTATGTTTCGGCACGATGAAAACTTCAAAAGTCCCGAGCAACTCAAAACTATGTGTGGGTTGATGATGGACGCGTCGCGAGTGAAATAGTCCGCAAAAGCGATTATGAAAACAGGCAAAGACCCGAGACCTGCGCTTAATTTTTTCCTTTCGTTGGGGCGCAATATGGAGAGAGAGGAGCGCCGGCTGCCGCGGAGGGTAATTATGTTGAGTCGGTTTTTTAGCGCGCGCTCGAAAAGCGACTGCCGAGATCATGTTGCAAGCGAAACCAGAGGATTGAAATTAATTTTAAACATGTGTGTTGCGGCTCGCATAGAGTCGAATCAAATTAATTACGTGAAACTGCTGTCTGCGGCCGAGGAAGTTGCATCCCTGGCTGCGTGGCGCGAGTGAGGTGTTTGCTTGCATTTGTACACACACGACCCGGCTTGAATTGTAGCACCAGAGTGATTATTCAGAAATTTTATCTCCTTCAAGAATTAAAAATAAATAACGGAATATTCAAATTTTAGCTATAAATTTTAATTTGGAAAAATTATTATTTCAGTTCTACATTTTGTTGATTGTAATTTATTGAAAATGTTAGAATAGAATAAAATGAATAAACTATTGTCCTAGTGAATAAAATTAATAAAAGAAGAAAAGATTATATGATCATCCATTCAGTTCATTGGGTTTTTTATCTAAAATTTTTAATATTATTTCTAGTAAATTTTTTCTTTACAAAGAAGAATTCGCTTTTTAACCAAAAAATTAGTGTAAAAGTAAAATAAAACCCTAAAAGTTGTGTTGCATAAAAATTTATAAATTAAAAAAAAAATAGTTGCTTGTGCTGAAACAAAACAGCAATTTTTCCAAATCTGAACAGATCAAACATAATAAAATCGCTGATGACGTTTTAAAAAGTTTTTGTCAGTTTCATCGGTCAGCAGCCTCAATTGACGCTAAACAGACCAGGCAGGAGGAGGCCGAACGAAAATTGAAGTGTCGAGGCGAGAGATAATTAAAGAGTTTTCTAGCGCCTGCTTGATATTCCAAGATTTATGGCGATATTTTCATTAGTCGGTCTGAAACACTGCTCCTCTTTTATTCAAGATTTCGATCGTGTTTGTTTCCTTTTGCTGATTTATGTATATTACATTGTGATCTAAATGCGTGATGATAAATAGCGACGTGCGCTGCACCGCGATGCTTTTTTCCCCTGGCTCTGGTTTTTACAGGCGGCGACGCTATGCGATCATCGCCGCGTAATCAAACACATAATATTCCAAGTTATGCGCAGGAAGTTGGGGTCATGATAATAGCACACATGTATATAAACGCACCGAGGTGCTCTCATTCATTTATATGGCTAGTTTTGCGTTTGACTTAAATTGGGCTGCGGGTTATCGGAGGAACCAAAAAGGAAGTTGTCGGGGTCAGCAGGCAAGTCGGCGGCAAATGCTCTCGGTGATAAATTTCCGTGTGGGCGCAACTTGTTGCTCTCATTCCTCCATAAAAAGTGTGCGTCAAAATTAAGTCTGTTATAATTTAAGATTAGGCACTTAATTAAACTATATTTTAATAAAACGATTGCCGGCCAGGATTGTAATAATGTAAAATATTCAACATCAGTAAGATAGAATGAAGAAAATAGAAAACAAATTCATATTGTAAAATTGCATCCATGAATTTATTGCACTTGTAAATATTAAGTAATGATAAATATCACTTAAAAAAATATTGGCCTTAATTAACTATTAACGTTAACAATTAACTATTTACGTTTCTCTGTCTATGATGGTGAAGTGAAAAATAGTGACTGAATTATAAAAATGTCTTTTAAGATTCATCAGCGGTTTGTGCGACAACCCCTTCTTCTTGGGCTTGGGTTATCAAGAAAATTAGGTGGCGATGAAAAGGATTGGAATTATATTATTTTGGTAAATATGCAATTTTTAAGAGCAAAAAATTCTTTAAATTTGAATTCGTACAATCGGCTGGCTGTTGGTCGCAATCTCAGATTTACGTTTTAAATTTAAAGTAATCTTGTCGGGTGAAAGTTTTTAGGTTTTTCGTGGTTTTACTGATGAAACTTTGCGAGCAAAACTTGGCATAAAAGAATGAAATTCACGTACCAAAATTTTGGACTTTTAATTAAAAAATAACTTTGCAATGACTCAGAAATTTATCTTTTTCTGTCAACTATGTTAATTAAAATAAAAAATTGGGAAATATATTCCATTCTTTAGAGCTAAGTTTATCTAGCTCACATAGTTTCTGTAAAACCACAAAAAAAAACTCTTCAATGTAAAACTCTGAAACTGCTTTACACTTTACAACACAAACAAAGACACTATGTACTGTGCACTAATTTAGTGCACAGTGCCACTAAAGAACAGAAAAACATTCGCATACTAAAAAAAATTTGAAGAATTTTTAGGTCTTTGTTTTAGCGACTTGTTCGTCAGAAGTTTTTACTTTTTACATAATTTTTTACTGCTTTTTGTCTTTCTCTAAATTGTTTCTTGATTTGTGAAGAATAAAAAATAATTATATGTTGAAGATATTTAAGAAGAAAGTCCCTAATACCTTGAATTGGTGGAGTTTATGGGGTTCATCAATTGTCTTTGTGCGCAATTTCTTTTTGTTGACTAAAATGTCACCCGTAGCAGAGAAAAGTATAAAGATTTTTTTACTGCAAATGAAAAATGAGATAAATTAGCGTCAAAGCACAATTATTTATATGATACTCTATAGCCAATGAGGACGAAGGCGGATGAGTGTGAAAAATGTGTTTTTTCATTCGGCTCATTAGCTGACGATTAAAACGCGAGGATGAGGCTGCACTTGTGTCTACGAAAATAATAATAAAACGGGTTGGTGTCGGATTTCAAAGAAGGGAGGCGCAAAGTAAAATGGCAGAAGATCTTTGGACACACCCGAGACCGGAAACACGTCGCTGAGCAAACAGGAGCCACGCGCTTATATCGTCGGCTGCCTTATTGCAAACACAATATTCTCGAACTCGGTGTGTATTTTATTTGACATCCTCGCGAATACCATAGTGCCGATTCATTGATTTGGTTTATCACACCAGTTTATTTGCACTATCGTGCCGCGGTTTCCCGCCAATTACTATTGGCACACACAAGATCTGCTCGTCAAGAAAGAATGGACCCCTTTTTATTACCACCGACACCTGCCCCGCACTTTTGGACGCACCTTGCGCCCTTTCGCCCCGCTCCAAAAAAACCACGTGTGTACTTTTATCCCTCTGTGAAAGAAGTTGCGTTATGCTCGAGAATTGCGACAGCGATTGTTATTTGTTTGCCGATTAAGCTAGATTCAATTTGCTGGTGCAAAAGTACTTTATAAGAATGTCTGCAATTTCTGCTGTAGACAAGAAACCATTCAGGATGAGTTTTAAGAAAAGAAGCCACTTCGCAGAAGGGAATATATAAAATTTATATTTTATAGGGCACTTTATCAATTAAACTATTTATTTAAGTAGTTGTTTAATAAACAAAAGAGCAAATATAATCAACAATAAAGTTTCAAAACTGCAAAGAATTGATTGATGAAACAAGCAATGAGCGTCGCATGAGCGTTGCATGGAATAAACATATATGCGTTGAAATTAATATTTTTATTGTGCTTCCCCACTGTGAACGTGGCTTCTTGTTCATAAAATCTTGGACAGGATACAGAATGAATTTTGGCCAGAACAACATTATCAAACATGCACAAGAGTTCATCATAAATCTTTTACTACCCTTTCGATTTGTAAATTATTTCTTCACACACACAAGGAAGTATATTGACAAAAAAATTTATATTAAATATAATTATATGTTTAATATTTTAAAAACTAAAAGCCTTTAAATTGATAATTACATTAATTACTTTTCTCTAATCGCAATTTATTCAAATGCTTTGTTTTTGTTGGAAATCATTTTGCAGACATGTAAAAAAGCTTTTGTAATTTTTATTAAAAATATTAATTGATGTTTTTTTTAACTATAACCAAATTAGAGACAAAGAATGAGAGCAATTCAACATATCAATATCCTAAAAGAAAAAAGTGTTAACTTCCTGTTGGCAACACAGTTTGATTAATGCATTTCTGAGGATTTTTATCATTTAACACATGTCCTGCTCTCCCTCCGTTCAGAACTGAGAAACTCTCTCAGTGCGGTTTCCAATCAGCAGGATTTTTTGAACATTCAATATAATATGTAATAATAATATATATTTTTATTCCTTTAAGATATTCATCAAATTTTCTTATAGTTTTTAACCAACATTTTTTAATCACAAAAGATGCTCCATCTGCTAATGTTCACCCCCTGCATAGCATGCGAGGGTGACAGCGACGGAAATTGTGAGAATGCGGCGCCAAATGTGAATGGAGGATAGTGAATGAATGAATGAGTGGCTGCTGCAGGGCTTCCTCTCTCTCATTATCTACACCTCTTTATCTTTATTATTTGTGACCTCTGATTTCGCCGCCCTTTCGTAACCCTTGTCTAGCCTAAAACAGGGTTGCTTCTGTGCCAAACATTTTTATGCATCCAGTGCGTACTCGTGATAGTGGGGGCGAACAGAATAATAAAATAAATCATTTTTTATTTTCAGCTGATTGCATTTTGCTCGTTAGACATTTACGATCAGAAAAACTTGTGTGGCCTTATTAAAAATACAAGTTCCTGTGCCCTTATTATTATTATTATTTAAATTTTAAATAGAGTAAAAAAGATATAAAGGATATTTATATTAATTATTTCTTAAAATTTCTTGTTAAAAAATTACGCTTGAGCGAAACTTCCAACTGGAAAAATCTCCGAGCTGCATCAGTGCGACAGGAAATAGCGTCTTGGTTTATTTAGACTTTGCGGCACCGCTGTAAATAAAATTTTATATGATGAGCTGGTAACAGAATCCTTTGTAGGCCATGATAATACACTCGCTCGGGATGCTGATGGATCTGCTTCAAGATCTCGGCGCTCGTCCTCCATGCCGTCATACGCAATTGGACCGAGAGCGAGCGCGACTAGTCTACAAAGACGAGATCAAAACTCAGGCGCCGACTCTTCCTCCAGAGCCCAAATGTACCCTGCTCTGCACCCAAACCAGAGTTTCCTTAATATTAAATAATTTAATGCCTCACTAATGAAGAGCAGGAAATTTTTCAATATAGTTTTGAAAGTATAAAGCATAATAACTAATATAGAGCTCAGAACTGTGCAGAAATAGGGATAAAGAATTTTAACAAAACTTATTCGTTCAAATTAGGATTTCTGTTAACCAAACGAATTTTTAGCTGGTGAAAATTGATTTTTTTTTTAACAAGAATCCCAAATCTGTTTTGGAAAAATTAAAAGCTTTCTCGCTCAGTATCTGAATCCACGTTAAATATCTTTTGGAAAATCAAAACGGAAACTGAAAAACATTTAACAACGCAAACACGACGGAATTTGTACAAAAAATTGCAAAAAAAAACCCGCACTACATAACAACTAATAACGAAAATGATTAAATTTAAAGAATGATAACAAATAAGATCATTTCTACTTTTTTGAAAATTTTTTATTAATTCTTCATTTGCTGACCTTTAAACTTTAAATCATTCAACAATGGCTTCCATTCAAATGGATGGAATTTCGTCACCTGCATCTCGTCAACAGCTCTCTCAGTCCTTCTGCTCTGTTCCCCGAATAAACAAACAAAACAGTTGCTCATCCCTTATCACCGTGACAATATATAAATCGATCCCATTGTCGAATAGTTATTTGGTAAACACAAAATTTCACAACTCAAATTATCAGCCGAGAAAGGGCTGCCGTATTTGCGTTTGGGTGCATCGCCCCGAAATCCAGATATCCTGATATTGTTTCTTTGGTTATTTTGACAACCCATGAGGCGTGGGAACATTGCAGGTGCTATTTTATAGGGAAAAAGTACACCACTTTTATTCAACTCCAATTGCATTCCCATCCATACGTACACAACTCGTGTGTACGTATTTATACTGCTGATGAGATTAAATAGGAAGCGCGGCGGCATCTCCTCCGACAGACTGCTTTTATCTCCCGCGCGCCATTCGTTTGTCGAGTGCGGCGCGGGATTGTACGTGGGAATTGGCTTTGGTCTCTTTCTCGGTCCCGTCTGCGAACTGCTATTTGCGATTTTTATTTGTTTACCCGATGAAAGTTCTCATACATCGTCTCTTGTTTTGCATGTTTTCATGCAATGTTCCTTACCATTTAATGCACTTTCAGTAATATTCACTCTAGAAAATTTAAAGTGAATTTATGAGTATAAGAAAGTTTCTTAAATATCGTTTAATTGAGAAAATTAAAATTGGCCTTCATATAGCTTTGAATAATTTAATTGCACGGTTGAAAGTTTAATATGCTCAGTTCCTGCTTTCGTCATATTTTCACATTGGAAGAAAAAAATTTCAATTTCAACCTATAAACTCTCATTTTTCTCATTAATTGTAATAGAAAATGACGATGTAATGAAACTCCTTTGATGTTTTGATTAATTTTTGCTGTCATTATATTAAATTCAATTTTCCCAAACCAAAACTATTTTTATCCCTTAAAATATAACAATGTCAATTTCTGTGAGTTACATGGCTCGAATTTTGTTTATTTTATTGTAATTGAATTTTTATTTTAGAAATTATTTATAAGGCATAATGTAATTTACTTCCTGGCCTGGTGTTTTATTCTTACTACAAGTAATCACATAAAATAAAAGGGTAAATTTTTGTCTCAGATTTTGAGATGCTGTTTAAAAATGTATTAATTTTTTTATTTATTTTCTTCTAAATAATTCATAACATATTGCTTTATTTAGAAAAAAATCTAAAAATAAAGTAGTATTAAAAAACCTGACTTAAAAATCACTTTTTTCTACTTTTTATTTGCAAGAATTATATAATTATCAAATTTATGCACTATATAAAAGTAAATTTAGATTTTAAAATGACATATATATATATATATATATATATATATATATATATATATATATATATATATATATATATATATATATATATATATATATATATATATATATATTTGAGTGCCTTGTGAAACTCTGTGATATTATGATCTACATATAATATTTTGAGAACTTTCGTGACAATTAGCCGTGCGCTTGCAATATCATCCTAAATATGATGAAATCAGCGAGAAAGTGTGAAAATTTGACGCTGCTAGCACTTTTTGTTGCAGCGTGGTGGGACGCAACTCGATTCCGCGAAATTCCCATCTGACGGTCCAAGCCAGCCAAACCATCACTGTAATCAGGACCAAAAGCGAGGCGTCCACAAATAATCGTTAGCAGAGATTTTATTTCGTCGTATACATAACGAATCACATCTGGAGCAGCAATTAAAATAATAATTATGCCAAAGCCTAAAGATAGAGATGATTTTCGAACTGCTTAGCCTTTGACGCGACCCCTGAATCTCTCCTGCTGCTGCTGCTGCCTCTCTCTGTAGACACGAAAACGGATGTGTAATAAAATAAAAGATGCCCAGCGTGATAATTTATAATTTTTGGGTGGCACAAATGGAAACGTCATGATCTATTTTTGGATTGATTTATTGCAAAATTCATCAATTCAACGTACATTTTATTTATAAAAAGTAAAAAATAGTCAGAGATTTGCAGCAATCAGATCTCGCTTCTTGTGATAAATCAGATCTTCGCTTGTGATAAATGCATCAGTTGATACGACTTTGAAAATTGTGCTGAAATAAAAGTAAACGGATAGGAATGTTGAGAAAAGCACTTTTTGGTCGCTGAGTGACGCATGTATCACAAAATAATGTAAGGCATTATTTTATCGCCTTCCTAGCAAAACGCTCAAAATACACACGATAATACAGGCAGAGTTGCCAACAGATCTATCCTTCCAGCATAAGGTGACTAACAATAAGCATTTTCTAATTTTACATAATAAATTTTTTCATATAAAATCTATTTTTAATAATACATCAAACTTGTAAAAATATTTACAAATACTTGACTCTATTCTAAATTTTTCCCTAAATGATGTTTAAAAACATCAGCAATAATAAGTAACCAATTTTAAAAAGCAAATAAAATTATAATTTCCTATGTTTGTTCGATTCGTTGGCCAAATTACAGAAATCCTTTCTTTTTTAAAAACTAAAAGAGCAAATAAGTACATTTTTCACAAATAGCCAAAATACCAACGAGGGCAGATTGATCAGTTGCTCCAGTTGCCCGAGTGGTTGCTGTCCGAGTAGGTGGACACCCTCTGCAGCTGCTGGTAGGACGGCAGCGAGGGGTGTTGCACGGGCGGTGCACCCCAGGCCGAGGAGTAGTAGTCGGGGAAGTTGAGGTGGTGGTAGGAGGGTTGCGGAGCTGCCGAGGGCGCCTCGTACGCTCGGCACTGCTGCTCATACTTGGGCATCATTTCGTGGTAAGAAACTGGCCGAGCCTCATCGACAGGCTCTTCGAGGGCACGCGACCTTGCCCAAGGTGCGCCGGGACCTGCAGCATTTGTGTTCAAGTGGCCGCCCTTGTTGCTGGGCAGATACAGGTCCAGTTCGGAGGCCTCGGGCAAGGGGCCGTCGTCCGAGATGGCGTGCAACGGACCCATGTCAATGCGACTGAAGTCGATGCTCTGCTGGCTTGGCGCCTGGTGTTCTTGCCCAGGGGACGCAGTGGCGGCTGAAAATGACACAAAACGAACACAATTAATTAAAATTTTAATTATATTAATTTTAAATTCATTACTTCATGTTGGCAAATAATATTTTTTTTTCAAGCAAAATGTTTAAAATCTATTCTAATGAAAAAATAACTCTAAATTATTATTTTTGTATCAATTATTTTTTACACAAGAATTGCGATTTTTTTTAATCTGTGCGGACTCAAATAATTTTATATTGAAAATGATTTTGGTATTAATTAAAAACTTACCATGTTGGTCGCTTGCCATGTAGTAATTTCTTCCACTTGAAAGGGCAGCCGCGTACCTGACCATAGAATAGTCGCCAGCCTGAGGGGTGGTCGGAGGGGTTGGTGGTCCCTGTGAGCTGCGGGGTGAAACTCCGGAGGCACCAGAAGGTGACATCGGCCTTTCCCTCTTGGAAGTGCGACTGAAAAATAAGAAAAACTTGCTTGATGGCCTGGTAGAATGAAATTCTTTTCACTGCTGTTTTTTAATTAATGCTAGTCGGGAATAATATTGAAGTGGAGGTTGGGCATTGGGCTGGTTGGTCATTACCTGTAATTGATGGCGCACGTCTGCTCTTGCGAACCGTGGTGCTCGTTTTTGACTGAGCCTTTGAGATGTTTGCGCCTCCGCGGCTGGTACTTGTAGTCGGGATGTTCTTTCTTGTGAATTACTCTGAGCCGCTCGGCCTCCTCCTTGAAGGGTCTCTTCTCGATTTCGCCGAGTAATCTGCAACATATCACGTTTCCACGCCGTCAGTTATAAACAGCTAAAAGTGCAGTCAGGGACACTTGAGTGGGGGCGCTTACAATTACTTTAAAACAATTTTAACAAAAGCAGCACATTTTTACTGCTAAAATTTTTTTAGTTGTTGTTTGGAATAATTTAAATTATTATCTAAATAACAACTAATTTATTTTTTTAAAGATTATACAAGGTAAAAATGCATTATCTCCATCAAATTAATTATAAATTAGAAACTGAAACAATTATTAAATTGTAGAAATAATAATCAAATTTATTCTTTTTCTTTTCTTGAGTAAAATTCTTCACATTTTACTCCCAAGAGCAGCTCTCTTTCTCGAGTGCAGCTATATAATATTGCTCAAACGATGTGCCGCTCGGTGTCGTAAGGAGTCATTTTTATCCTCGGCATTATTAAAAACCCGTGTAAGGAAAAGAGTGCACATGAAGACGCTTCTTCTCCACGTCATTTTCAACAGGCACGGAGAAAGAGCAAAAAGCTGCAGCAACGCCGCTCCGAATCCGTCGCAGAAAAGACGCACATTTTCACAATTTATGTTTGCCGACCAAACAGTAGTGACCATTCATGCGATCTTTCGCAGGAGCATAGCCTGGATGAAAAATGGAAGAAAAAGAAACTAAAAGACCGAGACGTCAAGTTTGGCTTTGACGAAAGCCAGTTGCTTTTTTTTTATTTTTTCCCCAATAAAAACGTTTTTGCAGAATTTGAAGTTCACGAATGCCAAAAAATAAAAATTACTTAATTTTTCTTTTGAAATAGCGATCGTTTAAAAGATGTACAAAATTAGACGCATTGTTAATATTTTTGTGCAAAAGAAAACTTTTGAAATTATTATTATCGTTGTTTATTTGCCCAAATTGTTACATCACATGGTTTACATGCAATTGTTAAAAACATTTTATTTGAAAAAAAGGAATTGTTGGAAAAAACGGCACCACCGCTAGAAAGAATTTTGCTAAAAATTCCGAGATCAAAAAGACCCCATCCGCCGCAGTGAGTCTCGGTTGACTTGGTTTTATTCTTAAGTAATAAGTTTAATAAAACATTATTGAGATGATTTTTAATCCCTGAATAAAATAAACAATAACAAAAACTTTTAAAGCAACTATGCTTCAATCATTAGAAATTTAATTCAAAGACATTTAAAATGATCTCATTTTTCTGGCCTTCTGAGTCAAATGAACTCAAATCTATTTCCGCATTTGACCTAGAAAATTGAACTTGGAAAGGTTCATCGCTCTGAAAGTGTCGAACAATGTGCAGCCAATGTGCTTTGACACGTAGTGGTGTGTGCGTCTATGTTTGTCCACAGGACTTCACGTGGCCACGTGTGAGAGCAGAAAGGCTTTCTTTATATTCCCCTTTCGGCTCCTGTCAAAGTTAAATAGCCGAGCTTTTTAACACTTTTTTACACCAAAAGTGCGCTCGCGACCTGGTTTCCGGGCTTTCAGGAGGATTAGCGCGCGCAGGGTGTGTTGTCCGTTGGCGTCCACTTGTGCACATCTGCGCGCCTCGTGTGGTCCGAAAAAGCCCTTTGCTCTCGCCCATAAATTACGAATGGATATGCGAGTTGGCGAAAAAGTGGGAGCGAAAAAATTGTGATTGAATCTCGGCGGGCTCCAGGCAACATGAGAGTGATGGACAACAAATGACTCCGGCGCTTATGATCTAATCTATGTTGATGAATAGCAGCAGAAACGGAAATTTGTCTGCCCGCATTAGCTCGTGCGCCCAAACGAAGTGATGCTGCCCACATTTTATTTTAATTAGTTCCTTAAAACAACTTAATTTAGAAACAAATATGAAAAGGCAAAAGAAAATGAGCAAAATATGAAAAATTCTCAAGATTTTAAAAAAAATTTATATAAATTTATAATTTAGTAAATTATTTTTACCCTAGTTTATTTACTGATTAAAATATTTTTTTTTCTTTACGCATATTGCTGTGATAAATATGAAAAAATAAAATGTGCTCAGTAAAGAAATTTGCTGGAAATTCGAACGCAAGGTGCTGACGGCAAGCCCGGTCGGTTTTCCGTTTTCCTCTGTGTATAGCGGGTGCCGTCACCTTGCAATATTTACCTTCTCAAAGTTATATTGGGGCCCGCACACCTGCGACTTATCAAACAGGAAGAGGTCCCAACGCTTCTTTGGTGCAGCAGACTAATCGAGCAGTGATTATCATTTATCTCGCGGGCCGCGGAATCGTGGCTGGGCCGGAATCGGAGGAAGTTGAGCATCACCACGTTTTTATATTGCTTATTCTTTATCAACTCGCGTATGACAGTTTGTCAACAGATGAGTTTTGTATAGTCGATCGGAACCCGGAAGGGTGTGTTTTCATTGCCACAATAAATCGGAATAATATTTATTTTTAAAATTCAATAAAAATTATTTAATTTTAAAATAATTTTATATATTAACTATGGCTAGAATAGATTAAACAATCTATAATTTTAAGACTGATTTTTATGTGGATTACTGAAGCCGTGAGAGAGAAAGAAAAACAATTTATGTGATCAGACTAACAATGGCAAAATTATTTGAACTTGTATAAAAAAGATAAAGATAAACCAAAAAAGACACATGCACACTATAAACACCAAAGTTTTAATAAAAATAATGTTAATAATAATAGCAAAGATATAAATAAATATTCAAAAATTATAAAAATAGTAAATTAATTAAGTTTGCAACAAAATGTTAATTGATTACAATTTATAAGTTTGTCGAAATTTAATTTAATTTAAAACAAAAGTATCATGTAGTAGAAATGTTTTCAAGAGGAGATCTTTTATGGCACCAATAAAGTTCTTGTTTTACAAAGTGGAGGGAAGGCAATCTTGAGAAAGACCTCTGGCAACTTCTCGTACATTCGCAGAGTAAAGCACCACAAGAGATTGAAATCAGCACTTCCCTCGGTGTGCCCTGTTTGTCTTCTTGAGCGTAATTGATGTGCACCAAATTTTCCCAGTGAGAAAAGCTCTCCGCTGAGCTAATGAATTACACATTCTATTTTCTAATTTCCTTGCAGACTTTTATTAGAAACGATTTTTGAGTCAATCAAAAAAATATATTGGGTTTCGTTTATTGGTTGGTATTTCAAACCCCACAATGTCTGTCGCGGTGGACGACTTTCAAGTTTCCTATTTGTTCCTTTGAAAACATTCAAATGCGCTCCTCAGGCCAAGCGTGCACCCAAAAATCTTATTATCAGCCCTGTCGTCGCGGCATCTACGATATCCGGTCCTCATCGTAAATTATCTCTCTGTTTGTTTTTCTTACACCCTCAGCTCTCTACAGATTTAAAAAGCGGCTAAATTTTATCTCTGCGTTTTCAGCAGAGCAAAGGCGCCGATTTTTTAAGCTCTGCCATTTTTTAGGGACACATGGGGAAAATTGTGACACAATGGTAATATTTCACAGCTCTGGAATTGTTCACGGTGGGTCAGAAAACAAATGTTGGTCAGGAAATGACATGTTATTTTAATATTAAAGAAGAATCACACATCTGCGCAATTGAACGGGATAAAATAATAAAAGGGATTTAAAGTAAAATAGAAAAAACTTACCTCCAAAGCTTGCCGAGGGTTTTGCTGAGTTCTGCATTGTGGAGTTGTGGGTACTGGTCTGCGAGTTTCCTCCTGGCTGCCTGGGCCCAAACCATGAAGGCATTCATCGGCCGCTTCACGTGTGTTGACCTCTTTTCCGAGCCGACCCTGTCAGACCAAATATTTTGGAAAAATTAAAATTGGTCTGAAAAAATGGCACTCTTATATTTTTATAAATGCACAAAAAATTGAATTTTTAAAATTGCTTTAGATGAAATATTTTGCGTTAGTTAAGTTTTCTAAAGCATTTTTAACCAAATCAAACAAAGTTTGTAAATGATCCAATTGTTTAGATGGTTGTTGGAACAAATAGTGTATGTTCTCGGTAATTAGCAAGAGCGTTATCAATACTGTTACATTCCGCTCTCGATTTGAGAGTGGGTGTCAAACAGGTGCGCATCATTTCGTCTTGTGGATCTCGTTCTATTCAAAGATGTTCAGTGGCCGCGCGGGGTGCGACATTTCTCGACCCGGCTCTAACTAGAGCTCTTCTCGATGAGCTACCGTGTGTGTAAAAGAAGCGCTGCTGTGGGAAATTCAACTTATTTACTCAGGAATTTCTTGGTTTTTTCGTAAGAAACAAAAATGTTAACATTTCTGAGAAAAAAAAATGTAATGATCAATTTTAACTAATTTTAATTTCAAAATTTGCAGTATAATAATTGATCATCAGTCAGGACCATTTTGCTTTCTCCCGATATCAAATTTTTCACCAAGGTTTGCGGTCGGCAATCAGTAAATCCAATGCAAGGCAAAAATTTCCGAACGGCCTGATTCAGCATGGTTGACCAATTAGCGAAGGGCCCCCCGCGAGCTGAGACAATTTGCGGCACTTTTATTGTTGCAGCGCCGCGATCGAGGAGAATGCTGAGAGGCACGAGAGTTTACAATGACGCGACAAAATTGGCCGCGCGATGCGCCCGCGAGACTCGGCGGCATGACAGCCTTTTAAAGGGTAATTAATTAATGGTATAATGTTCGAATACACACACGTGATTCCAAATTATTATTACTATGCCTGCGCAGGCTGCAGTGAAAGATGATTTGATTTGTTTGATTAATAGTGGAGATAATTCGGTTGATACGATCCTCCTTTTCAAATCTTTCCAATTTACTTTTGGCGCCCGTTGCTCCTTTACAAATAACAAAAACAATATAATAAACAACCTTCAGGTATTTTCCTAAAAACTTAAATTCTTTGGTAAATAAAGATTTGGCTTATTTTTTTCATGTATAATATGTATAAATAAGTGTGATTCATTTTAAAAGACGACTTTATTTGGTTTGGCCCGCGTCACTTTTGTAATTAACACCCGCGATTCGTGACAAAAAGAGAAAATGCAAAGCTGGCGAAATTCCGTGCGCCGCAGTATTTATTTCTCCAATTTTGTGCGTCTGCTGCGTTTTTTCTCTTTCCAGCAGTCGCGGCCCGAGGGAATATTTATCGTCACTCCGGTGTTAAAACTCCGGCGGTGGAGAGTGATAATGAAAAAATGCTTCACTAAAAAAGTGGCATCTTTACAGCTCAAGCAGCGCGAGCGAGTGAGCAAACGCGCTCTCGTCGCTTTCCTGCCAGCCGAGAAGACGTGCATTTGAATTTTATAATGTTTGCTCACGGATCGTACGCGGTGTTAAGCAGTTTGTTTGGCAAAGATGTTTAGTATTAAGAGTTTTCCTCGGTGCCCTTTTTGTATGTGAAACTATAAGTGCAGGAGGATACAAATCTGAAAATTTAGCAGTGCGGAGTAAAAAAATAGAGGGGGCTGGGATAAATTAGAGAAAAACCACCCGGTGCCTCTGACAGGCAAACACTTTACACCCTAATAAGTGCCGCATTAAGGATGCTCACACTCATGACCTCATCATCCGGGGCATCGTGGAACGCTCATCCCAAATATGATAACGTGGTTATTAGACAAGTGCCTTTGCAATCGAAAATGAACCATTGCGCATTTTATCACCAAATGAAAAAATTGGCGCCAATGCTTCTCTTTTTATTCGAGATTTTTTTGCAATTGCTATACACTTGGAATTTTTTAAATCATTTTCTTGCTTGGTGGTTTGCCCCATTGCATAGGCCATTCTTTTTTTCTTTCAAAATACTCGAATGGCCGTGAAATTGAAAGTGTGGAGTGTGGCTGGATGTTGAGTAAGATGTATTAGCGAGTGGAAAATTGCTGCTAAATTTTGGAAAATTAGCAAAGTATAATTCAAGTGCGAGTGTAAGTTTTACGCCGAAGCCTCAAACGAGCGAGCTAATTAAAGGCGTCAGCTGCGGCAGACTAAAAACAACTCTAGAAAAAGCCTAAATATCACTAAAAAAATCCAAATTTATTTTTCATTTTAAAGCATTATGAAAAGGAAAGAAATAAATTTTTATCAATAAAAAAATTAAGAACTATATTTGATAAAATTTATTATTTCCATGATTATATATTGTAAATAGTGAAATTATCATAACAAAAACTTTTTTTTTACTGGTTTGCCATGCTAAAAATGGCTACATCAAATCAAATCACCTTTCTTTTTAGGACTATATATATTTATAAAAAGAATTATCCTCAATTAATGTGTTAATAGCTTATTTTTAGTAAGTAACCAATGTCTGATAAATTGGACAATTAGTTGGTTGATTAGAAGCTTGAATAATATTATTTATTAAAAAAACAATGTTATCTTCACACAAACTGCAAATTGAATATGGAAGAAGAAAAACTAATAATAAACTTTTTATAAAAACTTCCTTTTTTCTGGTATTTGAGTGAAGAAAGCAACCAGAGAAATACAAATAAATTTAAATAATATCATTGTTAGACTCAAAAGTTAATCAATTTGTTTTAAGTAATTTTTGACTCAACGCCTTTTACTTGAATTACGTTCCGGGCTCTGTCTCGGAACGTAATTCCACGTATAAGGCGTTTAGTCAAAAGTTACTAATCAATTATTTCCTATTTCGATTGGTTTCTTTGGGCTTTATATTTTTGTTTTGTTTATTATAGCATAGGCTCAATTCTTTAATTTCTTCAAAAACATGAAAAATTAGAGGTAAAACAAAACCTGTAAGCTTAAAGCCAGGCCAGTGAACAATGCGAATTAGATATTTTTAATTAACTAATCTTGAAAAACAATCAGAGTTTAATTTTTTTAAATTTTCAGTTTTGCGAATGAAAATTCGCTGAATATCAGTAAAGTTATTTTGAAGTCCTGGTAACTGTTAGGACAAAAAATTTACTTGATCAGATACTTACTTGGTGGTCATGGGGACGAGATTCCAGTCATAGCCCTGCAGCACCTTGGACACGGCGTCGTTGATCTCCTTCTTGTCCAGGTCGGCGCCGCCTCCGTTTCGCGGCGCCGGCGGAGGCCTGACATAGCCGGTCAGGACGATGACCTTTTGCGAGGCCTGCTTGCCACAGCTGCTGTAGGGCTTGAGGTCGCGAAGGGCGGCGGCGGTCGTGGCGGTGCAGGTGGGTGACGGCGGCGAGCTGTCGGACATGGTGCGTGTTGACCCTTCGAGTTGCGTTCTCTCTCTGGCGTGTCGAGCAACACGTGGTCGGGACGCGGGTCTTCGAGCACCAGGAGGAGACTCGGCGGACGCCGCAGCCAATGGCGCGAAAGGCTCCGCCTGCAGGGCGGATTTGGTGCTCGGGGCCGCAGCTTTTGAGTCTTGACGAGCTGAGGTCCCTGCGGTTTCGGTCTCCAAATGCAGAGGGCACGATGAACTAGCGATTATCTTTTTAACGGGATTTTCTGAAGTTTGTAGCTTGTGTTTTGAGGCAATTAATTTGAACTTTACAAAAAATGATTATTTGCAGAAAACTAGCATTAATAATTTATTTTCTAATTAAAATTAAATATATAGTTTAATTATTTATTACAAGAATCAGCCATACAATTCAGGACTGATGAGAAGTTAGAAATTTTGTGTTACTACTATTATTTTTCTTTTATTCTCTCTCACCCAAAATACTTGTGGAACCAGCAAATTTTGGAAAATAAATTACATATTAAAACCTGCAGACTGATCCAATTACAAAGCGGAGCAATTCAAACTATTATAAATAATGGCATTATATTAAGAAAAATTACTTATTTTCTATATTTTTTAAGTATAATATAATAAGCATTCCAAAAGGGAATTCTATTCAATTCGTTCATTCTCTCACAATTATACCTATATACTTTTGTACCTTTTATGTATGTGCAACAAAAATTCGGAATAGAAAAATTATTCAATAACCGGTCAAAAGGTTTATAATTTTTAAGAGGTTTTTACGTGGATTTACTGAAACTGTGCGAGAAACAAAACACTACTCAACACTAATTTTGAACAGAAAAAACACACGCACACTAACAATTATCTGAGGTTTATAATTATTGAATTCATTGTGTGTAATATTTTTCTCTGACATAACTTTCAGCTTCCCCCCCCCCCCACCTGATAATTTTGTAGTTAAAGCAAGATCTTAATTTCTTTAAAGTTTAATTGAAAATTTTATGTACTCTTCTTTTCTTGCAACAAGAAACTTGGTTTCAATTTTTTCTTGAAATTCACTTTTTGTTCGTTTTTAATTTATTATTTTATTATTTATTATGTTTCCAAATAAATAAATTCAAAACGCACTATCAGCAACTTTGAAAAATTAAGAATTTTAGTTAGTATTATATTAATCAGAGTTGCATTAATTTAAGGGAGGATTTATTAATATCAGTATTCTGAAATTGAAAATAAAATTTTTTATTTCAAGCACTGCACAACCCAGAACTGTTTGAAAACAACTTTTTTCTTCTACCTATATTCCTATTCTTTTTCAAACGAATTTTCTCAATCTTCTTTAAAATTGTAGCATTTAGCGTTCTTGATTTTTAAAAGTTTTTTTTACCAGGAGTAAAGTCAAATTATAAGTTAGCGGAAAGTTTCCTGTTCTCATTGACGCGCACATGCAAGCAATCTAATAATAAATTCGGAATGCGCACATGCACCTCCAGCGGAGATGCTTTTACAATGTTTGCGGGTCGATTAGGCGGCTCATTCGTGGGCTGCGTGTGCGGCGCGGTAGACAGAAAGGCACCGACACCACCCCCTAAAAACATTATTGCAAACAGCGCGTAGATAAGAGACGCGGCGCGAGAAGCCACACACGCGGAATGCGTAATATACATATATGCGGATGAGTCGGAAGGAGGAGTTCCTGAAAGGGTGCAGGTGAACTGGAACGCACCCCGTAATGCTCTGGACCACCCACTGAAACAGTCCACTTCAAACGCGCCGCGACTAGGAAAGCGAAAAGCGCAAACGTGTGCGAGAACATCTGTTGTGCGGCGCAAATAATGGACCAGCGTGTGCTGCTGCTCGTTAGGCTAATGAGCGCCTTCCAGTGATAAGAACGCAGCCAGTTAATCATCTGGTCTCTTGAGAGAAGAATATCTTATGAGGAAGAAGAGTGCATTTCCAGAATCACGCCTGCTCGACCGATGCGTGCGTTATGGGATGAAAAAGTGGTCACTCAAGTTATCGAAACAAGAATTATTGTTGCACTTGACTTCCGACACAGCAGATGGGCACCACAAGTGTTGTCACGACCTCTGCGTGTGTCAGAAACGCAGATACGGTGATGATTTGTGGCATTTTTTGTTATAGATCGGGAAATACTGATTGTGAATAATTTTTTCATGGAATTTCCGAAGAAAGATTTTTATATTTGTTACTGCGAAAAATCTAATGGAAAAATGGTTGCTTTTTTAATTTTTCAAGTACCTGAAAATAATATGGATATACCAAAGTGCAAAGCGTGGGATTAAATAATATAAAAAATGATTTTATTTTAAATAAATGGAATTAAAAAATTTTAGAATAAAAGACATTCTCCAGATTGTCTAACTTGTTTAATGAATATTGATCAATTTATTTCCCATTGAAATTTTCTCAAATTTTTTTTATTGATTTTTAATTTAGGATTTTTATTATTATTTTCAATTCAATTATTTTCCAAGTAATGCGTTATATTCAAGAAAATTCAAGTTCTTGCATAATTTAGCGATGCCGCCCAAAGGCAGGCTGCTCGCGAGTGTCGAAACGCATGCGCCACAAAATGTCTTCGTTTCGCGGCTTCGAGGAAGAAAGAGTCTTCTCAAGTCCACTCTGAATGTATTCAGTGTGTCTGTGCCAGGAGCATGACCAGCATGTACAAAGCCGCAACAGACACACCGCAGTTGGTGAAGGTGGACCATCAAAGTGGCGTCGCCGGACCATCCTCGGCCTCCGTGGCCCTCAATCAGCTCTGCCCCCGCGGCCAGCACTCGGCAAACCCTTTGGACGCCGCCGTGGGAAAACTCCTCGATGGTGAGATTCAAAGCTCAAAATTTTTTTAAAGCATATAATTATTATCAAAGTTTTTAAGACAAAATCCGTGATATTCCGAGTGCCCCTTTATATCAGAGAGTATGCAACCCGCTCGAATCTGGTTCAAAGCTCGTTGCATAATTCCACCAAAAAAAGGAGCAAAGCTTATTTTTCCTTCTTTGAAATCATCAAAATCTTGAACAATTATATCAGAAGTTTTTATTAATATTTTTCGAGTTAATTTCTCACCACTGAAACGTACACAAAAATTACTTGAATCAGGTCATTTCTTTTTGTATTTAAAAAGTTTATAGATATGTTTGTTGCATTTTTCATCGGTTGAAACTGTTTCACATTATTTGTCGTGTTTTGCGTCCGCGGTGTGAAAATAGTGGATGCTCACCTCGTCTCTTGGCGGCATCGACTTGCTGCTTTAAATATTTATCATTCGGCGCGCACGAGCCTTTTATTGCCCATTCAAACAAAACAGTCGCGGCGAGAAAGAGAGGAAGTACAATTCAATCATCGGACGACAGCAGATTTGCATCCTGTTTATGTGCCCACAAATCTGGCTGAAAATTTCAAAGAGAATCGGCGAGACGATGAAGAGAGCTTGAAAATGAGTGACTTTGAAGCAGGAAGAATTGTTTGAAATGTTCAAATAAATGAAAAATTAGCACTCATTGTCAGATAATAAATCTTCATTTAGAAAACAAATTTGTAAAACAATTTTTTTGGAAATTAAATTAAAATAAATTAAATTCACAAAATAAAATGTCAAATAAAAGATTTACAATAAAAAAACCGATGATTTCCAAAATTTAGTCGATTTTTAACTGAAAATAATTTATAGTTCATTAAAAGAACAACCGCCACATTATATTACAAATCAGCCCAGACTAAATTGAAATTGACCAGAAATAATGTACCTTTTTTATTTTTTAATATTGTTACAGGGAAAATTAACTTTTCAAAGTGAAGATTCTCAACACGTAATTTTATCCCGGCACTAAATGTCGCGTTAGCATTTTCGAGGAAAGTGACAGGCTGCACTGTTTTATATCAAGCAAGGTTAGAACTCATCTCGATTGAATGTGTTTGTTTTGCTTGAGACAGCAGCATCGATGGATATGGGACTGCGCGTGCCGTAAATGCAGGAAATAAACACCCACGCCAGCACACGTGAGATTTCCATCATCCCCCGGCCGGCGCGCCGCGAGCTCAACAGAAATCCGACCTCTTCCAAATTAAATTTAATCCAACTCGATTGATCCACCCGCTTAGTTTTATATTTACTCCAACTCGCCGCGTTCATTAATTCGTGTGAGATATTACGCGTGCATTTGTCGTCACATCGCGGGCCCGCTAATTGCTCATTTAGCGGCGGCTTTTCTCTTTGTGCGTCGGCAGCCGAGCGCTTCTGCGCCATACCTCGTTTGTTTTACATCCATCCGCATTTGTCGCCGAGCGCCCCTAATAAATTAAAAACGCGGTGGATTCAGAAAGAGTCCCGCCGCCGTTACGCGTCGGAAATTATTTAAAAATTTGATGCGCCCCCAAGCACAACCGCTTTTGATGATCTAATGATCTTAATTCGGAAACAAAAAAAATTCAAATAAAGTAATTTTGTTTTCCTCAAATAATCTCCAAAGCATGCATCTAAAAAAGAGCAAGAATGATTTTGAACTTTGAACTTTCCACAGAAATGTCAATAAAATTAGTTTTCTCTAATTTTTTTCTCTTCAATTTGATCATTAACAAGGATAAAAAAAACATCAAAGATCCAGAAGAGAATTTTCAGAAACGCAAAATTAAATACACGAACACCTTCACAAATTATAGATATCATTTCAGTTATTTTTTATTTCAAGTTTAATTGAAATTTCCACAAATTTGTGCTTGAATTTTCTATTAAGGAGGAACGTCTGGAAAATTAAAATAAAGCCATTGTTTGATTGTTGCTCATGGATTTACTCTAGAGTCATTATGGCTATAACTCATTGGTAAAAAAGAGCAACCAAGCCTCTTGTCTCTTTGCCATGTTGCATTGTTATTTTTCACTAATTATTGAGCAAATTAAATTATATATTAAAATTTTTTGATAATTTTATCAGGATACGATTGGACTTTGCTGCCCGTCACCCAAAAGGCCGCAACTGCAAGCAAGAGGCAGGCTCATGTCAAGAGGCCGATGAACGCCTTCATGGTTTGGGCTCAGGCGGCCCGGCGGAGGCTTGCAGACCAATACCCTCAACTTCACAATGCAGAACTTAGCAAAACGCTTGGAAAGCTGTGGAGGTAAGAAAAATTAATATTTTTTCTAAGCAACTCATTCCAAAATCTTTTTTATAAATCTTTGAAAATCCAGTGAATAAATTTAATTTTCCAATAAAAAAGGAACACAGAGAAAGAATAATAAAAATTAAAACAAAAAAATGTTGTTTTGCATATAATTGATTATTTTCTTTGTCTTTATGAAAGGTCCCATGACCATTTATAATTTAAAGTAAAGGAGAAACTCTAGTACGCAATAAAAATGAGGTGCGCGATTGCATTTTAACTAGGCAGGTTGAAGGCAGTTAGCACCTCTCTCTGGCACTCCTCCTCATGTGTCTTGAGAGGCGATTAGCACCTTTTTCACTTCAGGAGCCTCGCCTTTCGCTAAAAACACAGAGGTGCCTCTTTCTCCGTGCATAAGTAACGAGATGTTTGATCATCTCATCAATTGCTCGTCCGAGTAACCGTTTCCCTGTCAGCATTATTATTTCCAACGAAAGCCCACGGCACCAATTTATAATGCCCAGGCTGCAGCGCTTTGAACTTGTGTTTTATGACGCGACTTTGTTGCCTTAATTTCCATTCTGATTGAAGTTAGCGCCGTTAATAATTTTTATTTCACGGCAGATAGCGTTTTCTTGTGTTTTTCCAGACAGCTCTATGGCGATAAAAAAAATCACGACGAATTTAACTGCGGCGGCACATCAGAAGCGCTCGAGAATAATGCAGAGTAAACAGACGAAGCTTTTTAATTTTAAATACACACGTATATTAGCACAGCTCTTTGTTGGCTTCGCGGAAAAGACTTTATTATTATTATTATTAAAAAACCAATTAAAAATAATGAATTTTTTACCGGTAAAAAAATTCGGTCGTCATTTGCCAATTTTTGAAACTAAATATAATTGAATTTATGTAAAAATTTGCATTTATATTTAAAGGATTATTAATTAAATTAAAAATTGCTTTCAATTCATTGAGATTGTTATTAAAATTTAGCCTTTATATAAATCAATTAAATGCTTTTGAAATTTTAATGGAGAGTAATTGGAGACAAAGTCAACAAAAGAGACATTACTTATTATTAATTTCAGAGCAAATCATAATTTATAACAAATCAAATTTGTACAAAATCACTGGTAAAAAAAACCATAATATCAATGACCAACTCTATTAAAAGCGCAAAATTTTCATTCTGCCAAAAAATTAGTGGAGTGTATAATTTCCTCTTCGAGCACTCGCCATCCCTCATCCCCTGTAAAGCGATCTGGTCCTGGTCGTCGAGACCCGCAGTCGTGGAAAGGATGCGGCGGTTCAGATTTAGAGGTAGTTGGCTTTAAGAAATGAGGCGTGCACGCCAGACTGACAATAATAATCCGGGGCTGCCTGCGATGATTACACGTCCGATATAATTCGAGAAACGACACGAGCCAACAAATATATTTTTAAATCGCCTTCCTTTAATTGGCTCCATATAGCGGGGCCGTCGCGCGGCCGTTCCTGCTGCTGACAGCCCAACTTGCTCGGCCCTGATTAATGTGGCGTTAACGCAGCGCTGCTCTCAATTAATTTGCCCGCGCTCAGCATATTATTAAAATAAAATGTCGCGGCCACTTTTAATTACTTGACCCGCCTGCGACGCTGATATTTAGATGTTTGCGAATTTCAAAATCATCAGAGACGCAATTCGCACAGTTTAGCTCTGAAAACCCCGCTCACGTCGATGAAATATGTCTAGAAAATAAAATAATACAGTTATGCACGTGCCAATAACCATAATTAAATGATTAAATTTATTTGATAAGCACAATTACAGTATCCAAAAAATACATGCAAAATATTTTAGGCCTTTTCAAAATTAATGTTTTGTAAATAATTTAAATTTTGTATTCATAGTTAATGTTTATATTAATAAATTTTTATAAAAGTATATGTTCTTTTAGTGTAATTGTGTTTTAATTACCGAATTAAAATACAATTGAAGAGGAAAAAGTATTGATGAAATAATTGCTTTCAAAAACGAAAAATCGTTTCGCAAACTGCTTTATCAATTGAAAATATATTTAACAACGTTTTTAGCTCAAATTTGAATCAAAATTTGAAGTTTAAATTGAATTACAATTAAATATACTAAAAATTCTTACAATTCATACTACAGGTAAATTTTCTTTGACTTTCTTGAAATTATTTGCACACGTGCAGATTTGTTTACCTTGCAGTTTATCAAGAAAAGGTCCTGATTCTACGAAGAGGCGCCTGCAAACCGCGGCGGGAGATGAAATTATTTATCTGCATCTTGCACCTGCTCCAAGCCTCCTCTTCTTGTCCGCGCAAGCTGCCGCTGCTTTTATCGCACTCTATCCCCAGCTCGCGCTACACAAACAAATAATTAGCATCGCCTACGGGAATTCCTGCAATGCGTTCAGAAAAAAATTCAAACTCAAGAAGTCGAAATTAGTTTAGCCGATCGTAATCTGCGCGTCATTATTTGTCCGTCTGTCAGCGAGTGTGCGATACGCGCGCATTAATTATTGCTGCCTGCGCTCGGCAGTGAGTAATCGCATTCAAATCAGGCAAGCAAATTGCCTGCTGAAAGACGATGCGAGTTGGCGATAATTATTACAAAATTAAGGGAGGGCTCAGAAGCGGTCTATTTTTGAATTGTTTGCATTATGCTCCTGATTTTGTCTCTTTTGTATTTTTTACCTCAGAATTTTGAGTGATGCAGAAAAACAGCCTTTCATGGAGGAGGCAGAGCGATTGAGGAACGCGCACAAGAAGGACCACCCAGACTACAAGGTAAGTACAGTAATAAATGTTGAAACTCTTTTTTTACGTGTGAAGAAAATTCAAGAATTTTTGAATTTTTGATGTAAAAATTATTGAATTATGAAAAAAAATAGCAATAAAATCTTATCTAATGATTATAATTCTCAATCTTATAAAATCAGTCTTCAATTATAAGCACAAATGGTAGGCAGGAATAATATGTTGAACTAAACGTTTATTTAAAAAAAAAAAAAAAAAAAAAAAAAAAAATGTGAAAACTGAAAAAGTTAGAGACTAAAATATCTCTTAAGATATGTTTTGAAAAAATAAACAGAATGATAAATATAATGAATCATAGCTCATAAATAGCAAAATAATTAAATTTTTTTGAACAACATAAAATTGCAGTATCAACCGAGAAGAAGGAAGCCGCCAAAGGCGAGAGTTTCACAAAAACAGGCGCCAACGCAAACAAGTGCCAATGACGATTCGCCTTCCACCCAGCGGTATGTGGATTCAGAAGCTCCGAGTAGCAATAGTAGTGTTTCTTCCGCGAGATCTTTTAACAGGTTCTTAATTTAAAAATCAAGAGAAAATGGAAAGTTGTTTATTCAATGAATAAGTAGGGTCCCAACGGCGGCGGCGAATTTATCTTTGCAGTCCGATGGCTCGTCCCCCGGTGCTCCTCCGACGCCTCCGAAAACGCCTCAGCAGGCCAATTCGTCGGCAGGGTTCGTATTTGCAAAATAGAAAAAAATGAAAGATTTCAATTGCTTAATTGTTTTTAGGTCTCTAAGAAATGGACACGGCCAGACGACACTTATGAAAAATAATACTTCAGAGTTGAGAGCAAGCAGAATGGATTGCAGTTATCAGGGAGTAGCAGAGAGTAGCCTGCAGGAAGAGAAAAGTTTTTCCAATCAGTGGTTAGTTTGGATTTAAATTAATTCTTTTATCACTTTTATTGTTTGCCATTTTATATCAGCTTCCAGTACCACCAGCAGTACGAACCTGCCGCAACCAGCTCGACAACATACGTCCAGCGACACCAGACACCGAATTTTTACACTTTGAGGCAAGAAAATGAGTCTGGCAGTGCTTTTGGTCCTACAAACCGCCACTCGTTGCCCTTCGAACAGCCCCAAGCATATCCGCAGCCGCAACCTTTTTATCATCACCCCTATCAGGGTCCGCCGTACTACATGCCTCCGAGATAATTTCTTCCAATTGATATTGATAAGATTGAAAAAGTTGATTTTTCAAGTGCCTTTCGATTTGTGCCTGTTTTCATTTAATTATTAAAATTTTAGAGTGGTGTTTAACTACATTTTTAATGGGCCATAATTAGAGATAAACTTTGAAATTTTAAATTAGTCATCATTGTTGCAAATTATGGTGTAAATTCGTAAACGGAAAGAAACCACTTGAAATTGCTCGTAATATATTATAAAGCAATACAATGTAAATGAAGCTGAACATATAAGGTTTAAAAGCAAAGAGATAAAATATGTATAACAAATATCATGAATCCTAACACATTTTTAAATTTTAATTGTATTTTACAATCTGGCCAATGGATGTAATTTCACGAATTTCGAAAAAAATCTGATCCATTATTGGATGCCACAATAAAGCAAAGTTAGATAATAATATTTACTAATATCAAATCTCTTTTTATTTTCTCCTATGCTCCTAAATATGAATTGAGCTGAAACAATTGAATAAAATACTATATAGGCGGGTCATTTATTTGAATTTCATTATCAATTATCAATAATTTTATTGTTTCCCTTTCTCTTTTTGTATCTCTCCTGCAATTGACACAATCAATATAATATAAATTACATAAATTATATTGACATGCGTGGACATTGCGCGCCGCGACTTTATTTTCCCGCCTCTTGTCCTTCCTTTAAATCACGCAGTGCGTGCGGCATTTGTTTTCGAGCGAAGCTTCCCCACGCTGTCTACTAGTTGGCGCTGTCGTCACTGCAAACACCGGGTCTTCGGGCAGAGCTTCATTAAAACATCACTGAAACGTAAGTTTTTGCACATTTTTCGCAGTTAAAAGCTGCTAATTGCGATAAACTCACACAAATTCGTTTGAGAAAAAAATAAGCTTTCGGATAAATCCAGAATTAAGACTATTTCGATCGAGAAAGCATTGGAATTTGGCCACTGAAATTTGCCGCACGTGCGTGAAAAAGCCGCCAAACGCCATAACAAAGATTCTATTCTACATTCTATCTTCCGTATAACGAATATTTCGGTCAATCCATTTTGGCTTCACTTGAGTCGGCGTCATTCTGCAACTTTGCTCGTTTCAGCTCTGAAACTCTCCATTTGCCATGGCTGACGTGAAGAAAAACGGTTCCGAGGAGGAAGAGTTCGTGGACAACCCTTCCGAAGAAGAGGAGGATGAAGAGGATGCCCCCGACTCTGAAGACGAAGACTGGGAAGAAGACGAGGTCAGTTCTCTTAATTCAAATCCGCCATTTTAAACCCAAAAGCCAAAGAACTCATTAAGTTCGTTTTGTGAAAGGTCCTCAAGTATTTCAACATAAATTAAATTAAATACATCTTATTATTCTGGCGATTTCCTAAAGACTTCGTGCTGCTGTTGTAAAAATCGATATCTTTTGGTTCTTCCCCCACCCCTTCTTGCCGCCGGAATGATTTCCAAAATTTTGGATATTATTTATTGTACCAAGCATCAAAGAACCCAATTTGCTCAAAACACGTATCATCAATTTGGATTTATTTTTTTACTTTTCTAGTCTCCCAAGAAGACTACTCGTGGCAGAGGAAGAGGCCGCGGAAGGGGTCGCGGTGCTGCCAAGAGGCCCAGCAAGGGCAAGCCTGGAGTCAAAGCAAAGAAAGCAAAGGCTGACGAAGATGATGAGGAGGACGAAGACGACGTTGAAGATGAGGAGGATGAGGAAGAATCTGAGAGCTCCGGCCAGGAGGACGACGGCAAGGACCCTACCAAGAAGGAGTTTAAGTCTGGCAAGTTTGTTGTGCTGAAGAAGGATCTCACAAGTGCTGATCAGCCTCCAATCTGGAAAATTGACGGCAAAGTGCTGCTGCAGAAGTTCATGCCATTTGAGAAGGACGGAAAGATGTTGTACAAGAGCACTTCGACCGTAAGAAACTTTTAAATCAAAATTTAGAATGAAACATTCAAATTATTTACAAATTTCAGTACTCTGGTTGGAGCCACCACAACCGTGACCAATACAGAGCTGCTCCCGTCAAGTTGGAGGAGGAGGGGCCAAATGAGTGTATTGTCGAGTTCCTCAGAGATACCATCCCTGCTGAAGAAGAGGAAGCCGTAGCACCTTCGTAAGCAACTTTTGTGGTATTTTTTTGAATATGTTATGTTGATACCAATTTTTCTGGCCACTCGATGCAGCGTTGAAGCAGGAGCTGTGTAATCTGAAAGTTATTCATCATCAGTTTACTACACGTTGACCTCATCATTCACAAGATTAGAAACTTAAATGCTCTTAGGACTTTCATTGGTTTGTGTCCCATGCAATCATCATATCTCGTACAACTCAGTGTTTCCCTTGATTGTTCAGAAATAGTAACATTCCATCGTGAATTCAATTTTATGGTGTGGCTTGAAACGAAGGGCACTTTGCCAGAATTTAAATAAATCACACATACCATCTTATTCAAAAGTTTGTTTAATTTTAGAAAGTAACAGATTTAATTTTATAACGAGTCTTCAGATTCACTTTCAGATGGTGGAAAATCAGGCATTTCTGTATTAAAGGAAAAAAATTAATAAAATCCAAGTTTAAAAAATATAACAAATCAAACCTCTTCGCCTTTGCCTCTCAATCTCTTCTTTGTCGAGGTACTCTTGTTGGGCCTTGATTATTTCTGCTCCGTCTTTGCATGCTGCATAAATATCGAGCAGTTCTTGGTTTAACTTGATGAAGCTGTGGCCCCATGAGAATTTACTCAAATAAAAATTAGCAGTATCTTTTTCACCTACGTAATAAATTGATTTAGTTTAAAGGCGTACTCGAAAATAAATATAAATCCTCACCTAAAATGTAAAAAGCAGCAGCTAATGCTTCAACACATGAAAGCTGACAGGGTCGACCATAATTGATTGGATTGGCAGCAACTAAATATGGCAAAAGTCGTGGATACGGAGTGCGCATCCTCGACAATGGCACTTCATCAAGCCTCGCCCATGAGCAGTCGACCACAGCAATGCCTTTGTCCAAGAGGACCTCTCTGTCCTCGGCAGATACACACTGATTTTTTTATTTATTAAATAATAAACCTTTTGTGAATAATTTTCACCAAACCTTTTCACCTGCTGGTGTCAAGACTAGACCAGGAAACCTTTGCCCTAACTTGAGTGTCTTCATTATACCGTGTCTGGCTAACTTCCGGCCAGAGCATTTCCTCGGATCACACTGCTCCAAGTCCCACATTGCGACGGGGTAATTTATTTCAACAGATTTTTCTGCTTCCTCTAAAAAATCATTATTTAGTTGACGTAAAAACAAAACAATCTAATTTACCTGACGACTCATTACTGCCATTTTCAATGTCAACTTCTGCTAATCGGTAGACAATGTCCGACTCGCCTTCCTCCTCGTCAGCAGCTTTACGGTCAGTCCTCCGAGAGGTCCCTTTTTTGCTTGATTTGCCTTCACTCTTCGAATGTCCTGCTCTGGCCTTTCCTCTAGGCATTTTTTTTTAAATTTCCAATGACAGAGATAACTGAAACCTGGAAATAATTAATAATGATTTTAATTATGAAGTTTATTCTCATAGCTTACTTTTTGATAATTTGTTTTGTTTATTTTTGTACAGTATAAATATAATTAAAGAAAGAAATAATTTGTCACATGGGATTCTTCAGGCAGATTTGTTTATGATAAGAGCAGTGATACCAACTTATCAAAATTTTATTTTTAAATAAAATATAAATTTACAGGCATAATTATATGAATACTGAAACTAATTATATATAAATATAAAATGTGGATTGAGCCAAGATTGAGTTTATTAAAAAAACGCACAATTTTCATGCTTATTACATATTTTTTCCTTATTTTTATTAATGAATAAATTAAATCAAAGAGGATATTTTCCACAGTGCTAGCTCCTTTGTTCGTTCATATTTAAAATACTGGGGGAAATCACAGTCCACAGTTTCCATCTAATAAAAAGAGGGTAAAATTAATGCCAAAGAAAATAATATTACGTCAGTATAAATACCTTCCACGGAAAATCTGGCTTTGCAATACACCTCAGGAAGTGCTCAAAGCACGGTGCAACAGAGTCGAGATCTTCAAGAGTGAAAACAAATCTGCAACAATTGAAGATTAATTTCATATATTTATAAAGAAATTTTGTATCCTTTCTTACCTTTTCTCTAAAGCCATATAAATTGATTTTGATGGGGGTTTACTTAATAAACGCTTTAAAGTTGAAACAAATGCCTCAGTCAGATCGTCGTCATAAATCACTAAAAATGTGTATTTTTTCCAAATTATACATTTTGATATATTTCAGACAAAATTTATGAACCAACCATCTGCTGCTATGACAATATTGGTCCTATCAATCACTTCTTCTAATTCATTTGACCACTCCTGAGCAAAGAAATCCAATTCTAGGACTTTGTACGGACATTTGACTAAACTCTGGTTTCTTTTGAAATTTGAGTCAATCAAAGCCAAAATATTCCCAATGTCGGCATCTAAAAAACAAGAACAAGAAAGAATTATTGTTTATAAAATTGATTCATTTTTATACCTGTCGATATAACTTCTGCAGCGACCAAAGCTGCCGCAATTGACGTGAGACCAGTGCCAGAGCCGAGTTCAAGGACAGTTGCCTGGGATAAAAGTTTGGTGTTGTGGATGACCCAGTCCGCAAGAAGCAGGGCGCCTCTCCACACCTGCAGTCCCACCTCGTTCAAGGTTGTGGACTTGCCGTGCTCGATCAGGATTGCATTTTCTCTGCGATCCAACACCAAATCACCGTCCTCGTCAACCACCTGTTCTGTTCCACGCAAAACAGGACAGTGGAATGGAAACTTTGACAATACATCTGCGACAAAAATTATTTACTTTCAGATTTAGAATGTGCTTTTTTTTAAATTATAAATACGGTCAGGGTTGACAAGGTTCTTTGCATTTTCCGAATCGTCGTCCTCTCTGTCCAAGTAAGGCAGAAGCTCCGATGTAACGATGCAATGCTCTCGAATGGACATTTCTGTGAAAAAAATAATCATGAATAAGATTCTGGATATATCATGCCAAAATGCCAAAAATTAGTAATAGATAGATAGAGTATTTATTGAACACAACTAGGTGTACAACGGGTGTCTAAAGCTAATTTGTATTCCTAAAATTAATTTTACAATTAAGCTTGTTTCAGTAATTATTACAAAGTACAAAAATTAGTTAATTCTGATTTTTGCAGCCTCTCTTAGGCTTAGTTTTCGTTCATTACATTCAAGAATATGATATTGTGAACATTTCTTACCGCAGTGCTTGCATTCACAATCTATTGTCGCTTGAGAATGAAAATTTTTATTCTTACAAAATAAATAGTGGTACCCGTGACAGGCAAATCTCGTAAATACTTGGCGATCACTGAACATTGCACATTGCCAATTTTTATTCTTCAAAGTTTCTGTCTCGTAGAACTCATCACATATCTCAAGTTTGTTTAAATATTTAGACACACAAAATTTCTGGAATGCTTCAGTTTCAGTTAGAGAATATTTTACCTGTAAGTCCGATACAAAGCGATACAAAAATTAGTAATGTGTACAAAATAGTAATTAATTTACAGGAACTTGAAAAAATGGAAAAAATATTAAAATAAGAATAAGAAGAGGAGAAAATAATGCATAATATGTAGTCAAAGTGACTGTATTTATGTAGATCATGGAGATTATAATAATAATGTGAAAAACAACCTTCACTTTCCAACATTTTTGGAGCGAATCCTTCAATAAGTAATCAAGAAATGTCTTTTCAGTCGCCTTTCAGATTCCTGTCTTGCTACTCCTGTTATAGTCCCTAATAAGATCAATGCGACCTAATCGTGTTTGTTCCCCGTTTGTATTTGGCTGCATTTGGATTTAATACGAATTTTTAACAAAAAGACAACCAAAATTTTAGAGAACGTTCTCGAGTAGCGCCTGTTTTGTTTATTTTCCTTTCACCATTTCCCCCTCTCCCTGCCTCCTGTCAACTTTGTTTGGTTGGCGCATACCGCGGCGCTAGCTTGGTGGAAAATACGTGACGTCACCGAGTCACGTGACCCGCGTCGGCCAATCCAGGGCCAACACGCTCTTCCATGTTCCCTGACTTGGACACGTTGTAGGATCGGCAAACACTTTGTCGGCGGCGGCTTCTTTTCCACCGGAATTGCACGGGTAAACAGCGGTCCGGTGTAGTATTAAATTTTGTAATTTGTACAGTGTCCACCATGGTCCGGTCGGTGTTTGTAATTTTGCTGCTGGCCCTTGCGACGAGGGCCGACGAGGAAATCAAGTCGGAGGACGGCGTGCTCGTGCTCAACAAAGACAACTTCAAGAAGGCGGTCGCCGACAACGAGTTCATCCTCGTTGAATTTTGTAAGTATTTCCACAGAAATCGGCGATTTTTAACTCAGAGATGTAGGAAGTGGATCGCTTCAATTACATCCGGTTGAAGAAATTTAAAAGAAATGACCAAAGAAAACGCAGCAGAAGTTGCGAGCCGGCTTTTGTTTTAAAGAGCGTCGCATTCAAAAGTTCAAAAAAAATTTGATTTTTCTCTAGACAGGGTTGACCGACTTCAAAAATTTAAATTTTTGAGTGCTTCAATTTTTTTTAGTTCATTCACTTTTGTTCTACAAATTAGGTTTGATTTTATGAAGCCGATAGAAAAGGCTGATAAAAAAGGTCAATACATATTTGCTAAAGCTATTTGACAACTTTCATGACGTAGTTAATTATTTTTCCACGCGTTTATTTGTGGAGTAAAAATTATGGCAAAATTTTCACTCGGACATATTTCAAGGAAACATATTGTGCGATAAGATAAACAAGACCTCCACGTCTCATTTTCTTCTTTCGAAATTTTTCTTTCCTTGTCGGGCCAATTATTTTTGTGAATCATCCCAAATTAGATATTATTTTCCCAAATGTGTTTTTAGTTGAATTATATAGCTGATGATTTATATTGAGCTGGGCGTGAGTGGGTGCACAAGCATTCCTGATTATTTTGCCCCTTGGTGGAGGCTCATTGCACTCACCCCCTGAGGGCGAATGGGCAATTAGTCGCCGCCCGCTGCGGGGTTGGTTTTCTATTGAATTATTTTCCTGTGATCGCAACAGCAGGCCGAGATGACAATTTACACTGGAAAGCAGCCCCATTGAGACGAAGGAGGAGTGACGTGGCCGGATGAGTTCAATCTCAAGCCGCTCTGTTGCCATGCATCGGCCCGACTCCTTACTCGAAAGAGCAAAACGCAAGACGCTCCCATGCGCTAATATCGAAAACAGAAATCTTCTTCATCTTCGTGGGAAGATTTAATTTATTTGAATAAAATTTGGGTAAATCTGACCGAAATATTCAAATTTGAGCCTTTGCTATTTTTTAAATTGTTTTAATTTCAGGAAGAAATTGCAATTCAAAGATTAAAAAATAATCTGAAACAAAATGTGTTAAATTTATTTTTGTTGTTTAATCCAATATTTCTAAAATCTAAAAAAAAAAAATTAGATTAAGATTTGACTTTCTCTGAAGCTTTTGATTTTTTTTTTAAAATTATATGAAGTTTTTATCCACGAAATTCAGGCTCAGCTCCGTTTTTAATTTTCAATATGAAGCTACATGATGCAATTTTCGTATATCACGAAAGGGAGTAATTTTTTTATAATCGTGAATCAATTTTGATTCATTGCTGATTTGGCATTTTTCACTTTACACCTGCTGAATGCGCCAATTTATTCAACTCCTCTCATTAGTTCCAATTCATATTTGTCCCATCCATCAAACTGTTTATTATAATTTTTTTACATTTTGCTTGTTCACCAACGTGGCCTTGGCATTCACCAAGTGCGCCTCATCAGCAATCGAGATTCTACCACTGTTCGATAGCGGCACACTCGGCAACAAACTCAATTCCACTTTTTAAATCTAAAAATAAACTTGAGAATTTTGATAAATTTATTTATTTTACTTTCATTTGTTTCATACTTGCCAATTAATATGGCTGCTTTATAAATTTTCTGCGATGTCGTAAAGAGCCTAAAAATAATTGTAGAAAATGTAACTTTATTAAATTTTTATTTTTTAGCTTTGAGCACCTAAAAGACTTTGAAGACCTAAAGATTTCCATCTCAAGAAAATTTGGCAAAAAATAATTAAAAAATTTCCAACTAATTAAATTAGCAAATTGCCGGCGCCCACTTTTCGTTTCAACTGGAGCGTTTCGCTAATTCCGCTCGCTAAATATAAAAAAGCAAGAAGTGACGCACACCGCGTTTCAGAAATAATGGGAGAGGTGTACGCTTGGTGACCTCGGGGAAGGTTGTTCAACCTAGCGAAAGAAAAAGCGACGGGCGTTATCGGCCTGTCTGTTTTGAACGACTCCGTCAATTTGCAATTACACAAAATATTATTTCCATTAAATTCTACTTATTATTCCCTATTTTTGGAACTTAGTGACGATCATATTATGTTATTTACCTTTCAATGAAAACTGTCAATGACGAGAGCGAGATTTGCTGGTCTTTTCTACCCGCGCTTGACTGTCAAACTGGCGACTTATCTAAAATTAACCCCGACCACGCAATTTTGTCTCACTTTCGGTTTTTGAGTCGGTGCCAGATGATCTGGTAACCCAGTTATTCAATCCTGAAAGCGCAACAGATTAGAAAAAAACTAAAAAAACCACCGCGTTGTTTCAGAAAATTACCACGCCCATTTTTTTTTAATTAAGAGCACTTAAGTGTTTTTTTTTTAATACTGTACATGCAGAATTGTGACAATGGAAACTTTGAAGCACCTTATCAAATTCTACAAAATTTTTAGAACATTGTCGAAATCTCCATAAAAGTCATAATTTTAATAATTTGTTGGATAATTTATCAAATTTTGGTCTGTTTTATTTCATTCTTTAATTAAAATTTTATTCCCTTCTTTTTCCAGACGCCCCATGGTGCGGTCACTGCAAAGCCTTAGCCCCTGAGTACGCCAAAGCCGCCGAAGCCCTCGAGTCCGACGGCTCGAACATCAAGTTGGGCAAGGTCGACGCGACCGAGGAGCCTGAGCTGGCCGAAGAATTCGGCGTTCGTGGCTACCCCACGCTCAAGTTCTTCAGAAACGGAAACCCCTCCGAGTACAGCGGAGGCCGTCAGTCTGCAGACATTGTTGGCTGGCTGAAGAAGAAGACTGGACCTGCCGCCAAGGAATTGTCCTCCGTCGCCGACGCAAAGGAGTTTGTTGAGGCCAACAATGTTGCCGTCATCGGCTTCTTCAAGGTGAAATAAATGGGATTTTTGGTCTTGCTGATGTAAGTTGCCTTTTGCAGCTGAGTTTTGGCGGGAATTTGAATTTTGAAGTGTTTTTAGGTAAGAAGGCTGTAGAAGTAATTGAAATTCATAAATTAATAAGGGCCTAATTGTCCAAATATTTAAATTTTTATCTTTTTTTTACGTATAATTGTTTGTTTTTGCTTCAGGACCAGACAACTGATGGTGCTAAGGCTTTCCTCGCCGCCGCCTCTGCCATCGACGACCATCCATTCGGAATCACCAGCGATGATTCTGTCTTCTCCGAGTACAAGGTTGATGGAGAGAAGGTTGTCCTTTTCAAGAAGGTAATTGAAGCTTTTGTTTTTTGTTTGAATACTCTGACTAAAAAAATTTATTTTCAATGCAGTTCGACGATGGCCGTGCTGATTTTGAGGGTGAGTTTGCCCCCGACGCGCTGACCAAGTTCATTGCCTCCGAGGCCCTGCCCCTGGTTGTTGAATTCAACCACGACACTGCTCAGAAGATTTTCGGTGGAGAGATTCGGTCGCACCTACTGCTTTTCTTCTCCAAAGAAGCTGGACACTTTGACAAGTACCTGGAAGCAACTCGCAACATTGCCAAGAAGCACAAGGGAGTGGTGCGTCTATTTTTATATAACTGATTAATTAAATTATAATATTATTTGGATTTTTTTTGTCTGAGCAATGCTTATTCTTGTTATTTTCTAGGTCCTGTTTGTCACCATTGATTCCGACGACGATAGCCACCAGAGGATCCTCGAGTTCTTCGGCATGAAGAAGGAGGAGGTGCCTGCCATGAGACTGATCAAGCTCGAGGAAGACATGGCCAAGTACAAGCCAGAGTCCGGCGAGCTTTCTGAGGAAATTATTGGACAGTTTGTCCAGGACTTCATTGATGGAAAGCTCAAGGTAGCTCGATTTACTCAACTTACTCTCTGCTTTCTACTATGATGATTTTAAAGTCTGAAGATTTTGATGAACCTAGAAATTTGTCCTCTAAGAAGAACTGAGCCCTTTATTATTTCTCATTGCATGTTATAGTTTATAAAATAAACATGACTAACGTTTTGTTGATTTTATAGCAACACCTCCTATCTGAAGACGTCCCTGAAGACTGGGACAAGACCCCTGTCAAGTATCTCGTTGCCAGCAACTTTGACACCGTTGTTTTCGACACGGAAAAGGATGTCCTGGTAGAGTTCTATGCTCCCTGGTGCGGACACTGCAAACAGCTTGCACCAATCTACGATCAGGTCAGTTCATCCTCCAACACCAAAATATTATTGATCTTGCTTTGATGAATTGGTTTTCTGATCCCCTTGAAGAACTTGTCATTTTTATCCTCTAAGAAGAGCTGAGCTTAAATAATTTAATTTTTTGATGTTTAAGTTTGTATTAAACAGGAACTAATTTAAAATTTCTGATTTCAGTTGGGTGAAAAGTTCAAGGAGAACGAGAATGTTGTCATTGCCAAGATCGATGCCACAGCCAATGAACTTGAGCACACCAAGATCTCCAGCTTCCCCACAATCAAATTGTACAAGAAGGGTGATAACAAGGTAAGATTTCTGATATCAACAAGTAATGATAATTTTAATAATAGTTTGTTGATATTTAGCAAAATTAATAAATACTCTTGATATTTTATAAATTTTTCCATGATATGAAAATTTTGTGTGATCACAAAAATAGGTCGTAGAATACAACGGAGAGAGAACACTTGACGGTATGAGCAAGTTCATCGAAACCAGCGGCGAGTACGGCCAGGCTGCACCTGATGAGGTAGCTCGTCTTTCAGGGCAAAGTCCCCATTTCTCACGTGCCATCCACACCCTCCTAACTAACTATCTGTCTTCATTTTCTCTAGTGGCCGAGAGTTGTTGCTGATTGGTGTGCTTGCGTTTATATTAATGCTTATATTTTAACAAGTTGGTTTTGTTTGGTATAACATTCTTATTTGGACTGCTTTCCTTTTTGTTGCACTAATCAGGTGGTCGATTACAAAGGAGCCAGAACTCTTGAGGCACTCAGTGATTTCATTGAAGGAAAAGAGGAAAAGGTTTCAGAGGTAGACGACTTTAATGGTGCAATTTTATGTTTCCTTCCAATCAAATTAAAGCTTCAGTTACTATTCTTGTTCTTTCATACCTGTAAATATTTTCTCTTTCTTTTTTTCCTGCAACTAACTTCCAAGTTCGCTTTTAAAGACTTAAATTTAAAATTTACGGTGCAGTTTTGTGTTTCTTTTTTAAACTTTCCTAATTAATTTGTAATTTGTCAACATAGCTTCAAGCTTCAGTTCAAATTCCTTTTCTCTCATACCTGTAAATACTTTCATACACTTTACCTGCAAACTAACCCCCAAGAGCACGTGATAGTTTGAAGAATCTGGGTTTTCATTTTTGATGGGCTGGAATTGAAAAGATTTTGGCTAATCTTATGAATGACCAAACCCAAGGTCCGCGCATCAGCAACAATGAAAAAAGTTTTGATTGTTGTTTGAGCTCTCTGATTGGGTACAAGTAAAGTTGTACCCAATCAGAGAGCTCAGCAACAATCGAAATTTTCTGATGAGCGGACCTTGACCAAACCCTAGATTCAACATTTCAAAACTTTTCAGTCTTCTAATAAATAAAAAATTCTTCCAGGACGAGGATGAAAATGAAGACGATGATGCTCCCAGAAAGGACGAATTGTAAATTATAAAATTGATTGATTCGATCTATACTTCGGGGGGCCTTACAGGACTAATTTGAAAAATTGAGGCTTTTCCGAATGGTTGTTACTTGATGCATTATAATTAGGGCCTCTGTTTATTTCTTTGATTAATTTTTGAAAAAATGATTAAAAAATCAGTGCGTGTGTACGATCAGGACACCTGAAGTTTTTTGAAGTTGAAGTTATTATTTATTACCAACTGAAAATGGTGTAATTCTATATTTTATATTTCGTAATGAATGTGAATTTACAACTCATAAGAGCAAAATAAGCACAATTTGTTAAAACCTTCTTGAAAACGGATGCGTTCATTCCATTGTTGTGTATGAGGTACGTGATGGCATTTCTGAGACCAGTCCATGTGTAAGAGAGGATATAAAAGATTCTTTTCTTAAAAAATTCTGTTTTTATTTTTTATTCGTTCCTTATCCGTAAAAATGAGATGAATTAAAATTATTTTGAGAGTGAATTAAAGTAATTATGCAGTTTATTTGAATCACAAATAAAGAATCATCACACACATTAAACATTGAAGAGTGAATAAAACCTGCATGACCAAACCTTATATAACATCAATGAGTTCAGTTAAATTACACAGAAACATGAACAAACAATTGCAATTTTTTGGCAGTACGTCGACGAGTAAAAACAACGACCTAGCAGGAATTGCACAGCTAATAAAATGTAATTAGGAATGATTCAAAGTCACACACACAAACACCCCATTATTTATAAGAATGTGCGCTTTTGTTTTTCGTCCCCTTGAGCATGATTTCGGACTTTGCAATTTAAAACACCACAGAGATAAACGTTTTGCAAAATTATTTGCCCTCGTCGTTATTCAACATTAAACACGATCCATTTTTCATTATGTGGTAGTTTGAAAGTCCAGCCTACATGAGTTTTATTAATGATGGTTGAGTGTGTCAAATAGGGCAGTCTGCTGGCGGTGGCAGCAGCAACACTCTCTCACTTAAAACAAACTTTTCGCCCTGGAAATCTTCACCGACGAGAAATGTTGCTCTGTCATTCCTGCTCTGCAAATGTCTGAAACATGAGAGGGAGCAGAACGTTAGAAGAGAAGTCAAAAGTGCTGCGCCACAGGGTAGTCCTTCTAGCGCGCGCACCTGCCATGCAGCAGATTAATAATCTGGTGTGGCCACCCGCAGGCTTTGCGAGATCGTATGTGTCCCAACAGTATCTCGCTGGAGACAAATCACCTCGTTTCAAATGCAACCCCGCCAAGGACGCAAAATAACAAGAAAGGTAAATGACTCGGAAAATTGCTGCCTCAAAATTGTTCCCCCCATTTTTGGGCTCCACTCTTTTTTTCTATGCACGGCTAATTATGATAAAACTTGATCCATCGCTTCATCATCCCCTGTCAATAGGGCCTCGTCAGTTTACATGTCATAATTTTCTTAACATGGAAAAGGGAGCAATATTTAATGATTTTCAGTATGCAGACAGGGCCAAAATAACCATTTTAAGCAACCCGCTCGTCATCTATGTGACACAAATTGCATAATCAATGCATATATTCCAGTCCATTGGAGTTTTAATCTGATTCCTAAACTGAATGGTACATTTTGCGGTTTAATTTTTATTTTTGACAAAATAAGCTGATATGCTCTAATCGGTGGAATTATAGATTAAAGAATAATATTGTTTTAATACAATGAAAGGATGGAGAAATGAAAAATTTCAGGATTTAGGGCCTACAATTTGCCTAGTTTAATGAAAATGACAATGTTTATTGATTCAGAATTTCGAGTCTCCTAAATTTTTAAATATATTTTTCCAACTCTGCTAACTCTTTTGTTCCACTTTAACAATAAAACACAAAACGCTGCAAGTCCTTTCAAAAGAGCTAAATCCATTGCCGGTCAGCTAGCAAAGGAGCTAAATCCACGTTTTCAAACATTTCAGTAGGAAGAAAAAACTGAATAAAGTACGAACCCTTTGATGCAATTAATAGAATAAGTTTAAGAACATAATTAGTCAAATTTTTGCAACATTATTTTTATTTTAAACGCATGATTTGTTTAATGGGAGCTGGGAGCCAAAAATTGAGGTCAATATAGACCGAAAATTTTAATCAAATTGCAAGCTTGTTTTTGTTAGTATATTAAACCAAAAATTTAGACAGCTACTATTTTTTTTTTAAATTAGTTAACATTTTAAATATTAATAATTGTAATATAGGAAATATGCATATAGGAAAATATGCATTAAGTGACCGCCTAGATTTAGGTGGAATTGAAATAGAGAGAGTTGCTGAGTTTACATATTTAGGAGTTACTTTTCAACCATCAGGAATCTCTTTTGGAAAGCACATTGAAAAAAGAACAAGAGCTGCATTGCTGGCCACTTATAATATACGAGAACTAAAACAATTATCCATTGAAACAGCACACAAGCTATTTGAACTAAAAATTTCCCCAATTGCGTCCTACGGCATTGAAGAAATATGGCCTTTACTAACAAAGACTGATTTTGAAAATCTTGAAAAAGTCAAAACAAGATATTTAAAAAGAGTTTTAGGACTGTCCAAGTATATTAGATCTAGATTTGTGTATGAATTAGTTGACACTGATCTCTTTGTATCGGACTTACAGGTAAAATATTCTCTAACTGAAACTGAAGCATTCCAGAAATTTTGAAGGTCTAAATATTTAAACAAACTTGAGATATGTGATGAGTTCTACGAGACAGAAACTATGAAGAATAAAAATTGGCAATGTGCAATGTTCAGTGATCGCCAAGTGTTTACGAGATTTGCCTGTCACGGGTACCACTATTTATTTTGTAAGAATAAAAATTTTCATTCTCAAGCGACAATAGATTGTGAATGCAAGCACTGCGGTAAGAAATGTTCACAATATCATATTCTTGAATGTAATGAACGTAAACTAAGCCTAAGAGAGGCTGCAAAAATCAAAATTAACTAATTTTGTACTTTGTAATAATTATCGAAACAAGCTTAATTGTAAAATTAATTTTAGGAAGACAAATTAGCTTTAGACACCCGTTGTACACCTAGTTGTGTTCAATAAATACTCTATCTATCTAATTGTAATGAGATAAAAAAAAATAATTATTTATACATTAAATAGTAAATATAAAATTTATAATTTTCACCAAGAATCCAATTTTCAATATTGACTCGGCTGTGCAAGCGCCTTCAACTGAAGTCCCTTGAAGCGCCTGAACAATAAAATTTAACGAAGATATAGCGATTAAATGAAAAAAAATTAAATTCAAGATTATCACCAAGAATCCAACTTTCAATATTGACTCGGCTGTGCAAGCGCCTTCGATTCAAGTCCCTTGAAGCGCCTGAACAATAAAATTCAATGAAGATATAGCGATTAAATGAAAAAAAGTAAATTAAAGATTTTCACCAAGAATCCAACTTTCAATATTGACTCGGCTGTGCAAGCGCCTTCGATTTAAGTCCCTTGAAGCGCCTGAACAATAAAATTTAATGAAGATATAGCGCTTAAATGAAAAAAATTAAATTCATGATTTTCACCAAGAATCCATTTTTCAATATTGACTCGGCTGTGCAAGCGCCTTTGATAGAAGTCCCTTGAAGCGCCTGAACAATAAAATTTAATAAAGATATAGCGCGTAAATAGTAAAAATTAAATTCATGATTTTCACCAAGAATCCAACTTTCAATATTGACTCGGCTGTGCAAGCATCTTCGATTTAAGTCCCTTGAACCGCCTTAACAATAAAATTTAATGAAGATCTAGCGATTAAATGAAAAAAAATAAATTAAAGATTTTCACCAAGAATCCAACTTTCAATATTGACTCGGCTGTGCAAGCGCCTTCGATTTAAGTCCCTTGAAGCGCCTGAACAATAAAATTTAATGAAGATACAGCGCTTAAATAGTAAAAATGAAATTCATGTTTTTCACCAAGAATCCAACTTTCAATATTGACTCGGCTGTGCAAGCGCCTTCAATTTAAGTCCCTTGAACCGCCTGAACAATAAAATTTAATGAAGATATAGCGCTTAAATGAAAAAAAATTAAATTCATGATTTTCACCAAGAATCCATTTTTCAATATTGACTCGGCTGTGCAAGCGCCTTTGATTGAAGTCCCTTGAAGCGCCTTATCAATAAAATTTAATGAAGATCTAGCGATTAAATGAAAAAAAATAAATTCAAGATTTTCACCAAGAATCCAACTTTCAATATTGACTCGGCTGTGCAAGCGCCTTCGATTGAAGTCCCTTGAAGCGCCTGAACAATAAAATTTAATGAAGATATAGCGCTTAAATGAAAAAAATTAAATTCATGATTTTCACCAAGAATCCATTTTTCAATATTGACTCGGCTGTGCAAGCGCCTTTGATAGAAGTCCCTTGAAGCGCCTGAACAATAAAATTTAATGAAGATATAGCGCGTAAATAGTAAAAAATAAATTCATGATTTTCACCAAGAATCCAACTTTCAATATTGACTCGGCTGTGCAAGCATCTTCGATTTAAGTCCCTTGAACCGCCTTATCAATAAAATTTAATGAAGATCTAGCGATTAAATGAAAAAAAAATAAATTCAAGATTTTCACCAAGAATCCAACTTTCAATATTGACTCGGCTGTGCAAGCGCCTTCGATTGAAGTCCCTTGAAGCGCCTGAACAATAAAATTCAATGAAGATATAGCGATTAAATGAAAAAAAATTAAATTCAAGATTATCACCAAGAATCCATATTTCAATATTGACTCGGCTGTGCAAGCACCTTCGATTTAAGTCCCTTGAAGCGCTTGAACAATAAAATTTAATGAAGATAAAGCGCTTAAATAGTAAAAATTAAATTCATGATTTTCACCAAGAATCCAACTTTCAATATTGACTCGGCTGTGCAAGCGCCTTCGATTGAAGTCCCTTGAAGCGCCTTAACAATAAAATTCAATGAAGATATAGCGATTAAATGAAAAAAAGTAAATTCAAGATTTTCACCAAGAATCCAACTTTCAATATTGACTCGGCTGTGCAAGCACCTTCGATTTAAGTCCCTTGAAGCGCCTGAACAATAAAATTTAATGAAGATATAGCGCTTAAATAGTAAAAATTAAATTCATGATTTTCACCAAGAATCCAACTTTCAATATTGACTCGGCTGTGCAAGCGCCTACGATTGAAGTCCCTTGAAGCGCCTTAACAATAAAATTTAATGAAGATCTAGCGATTAAATGAAAAAAAGTAAATTCAAGATTTTCACGAAGAATCCAACTTTCAATATTGACTCGGCTGTGCAAGCGCCTTCGATTTAAGTCCCTTGAAGCGCCTGAACAATAAAATTTAATGAAGATACAGCGCTTAAATAGTAAAAATTAAATTCATGTTTTTCACCAAGAATCCAACTTTCAATATTGACTCGGCTGTGCAAGCGCCTTCGATTTAAGTCCCTTGAAGCGCCTGACCAATAAAATTTAATGAAGATATAGCGATTAAATGAAAAAAAGTAAATTAAAGATTTTCACCAAGAATCCAACTTTCAATATTGACTAGGCTGTGCAAGCGCCTTCGATTGAAGTCTCTTGAAGCGCCTGAACAATAAAATTTAATGAAGATATAGCGATTAAATGAAAAAAAATTAAATTCATGATTTTCACCAAGAATTTAACTTTCAATATTGACTCGGCTGTGCAAGCGCCTTCAATTTAAGTCCCTTGAACCGCCTGAACAATAAAATTTATTGAAGATATAGCGCTTAAATGAAAAAAATTAAATTCATGATTTTCACCAAGAATCCATTTTTCAATATTGACTCGGCTGTGCAAGCGCCTTTGATTTAAGTCCCTTGAAGCGCCTGAACAATAAAATTTAATGAAGATATAGCGCTTAAATAGTAAAAATTAAATTCATGATTTTCACCAAGAATCCAACTTTCAATATTGACTCGGCTGTGCAAGCGCCTTCGATTGAAGTCCCTTGAAGCGCCTTAACAATAAAATTCAATGAAGATATAGCGATTAAATGAAAAAAAGTAAATTCAAGATTTTCACCAAGAATCCAACTTTCAAT